AGCGTCTCCAGGTACTTTACGGCCTTGATGCTTTGCGTCGGAGCAAAAAAAAAAACTCGGCATCCCATGAGTGTGTGGTGTGTGAGAGAGACGTCCCTTCCGCGCAGTGCTTAGCGCGCTGATGCCGTGCCCGGCTCGGCCCGTCGACAGACCTGTGAAAAATGCCGTGTCGCTGATCGTTTTTTGCGCGATCATTTGGCGTGGCTGCGGCGCTCCGCTCGACGCCCCGTCGGCTCGGCGCTGCACCGAGGGGCTCGCCTCGCCGCCTCCAAGGGCCGCGTCGCCGTGGTCATGAATAGCGGAGGGTAGGTGCGCGGCGCTGCGTCCGCCGCTTTGTCACGGCGGCACGCGGTTGCACGTGTAGGGTCGCCGGGTGCCGCGGGGTGCGTGGCGCGGCTGGACGCCGTGAATGGGCCCGCCGGCCCGCCACGGCGCCACGGCCCACATGTGGGGCAGCGGGCCGCCACACAGTGGGCCAGAAGACCGGCGGAGGCGGCCAAAACTCTAGACGCTTTTTGAGCTCCAGAGTCGCTAAACTTGAATCGAAACGATCATGTGACCCCACCAATGGATTGCTCTCCCAACGAGGAATCCATTGGTGGGGTCGCACGTTCGGTTCGAGTCCCATTTAGCGACTCTGGAGCTCAAAACGCGTCTAGAGTTTTGGCCGCCTCCACCGGTCTTCTGGCCCACTGTGCGCGAGGGCCTTGCGAGCGCCGCAGCGCCGCGTCTCCTCTTTCTCTCATGGTTCCCTCCACCGGAATTAATTTCCCAATGCCCCGGCGGGCAATGCCGGTAATCGCCGTGCAGGTGCACGTCGCCGTCGTCAAAGTGTCGCTGTCAAGTCGCGGCGCGTAAATCCCTGTCAGCCGAGCGATCCGAAGAGTCATCGCGCGTCGCTCTGTCTGCCTCGCACCCCCACGGAACCACGGGACGCCCCGTGAGAGCGGCAGAGACAGCGCGATAGACGCCTCTTCGGAATCAGTCACCAGCCGCAGCGCCGTTTTGGTGTTTTGTGTTCGCGGCGCGGGACCCGCGGGACTTGGGGAGAACATCAGGAGGAGTGCCGAGTGCAAGTCGACCGCCAAGGTGCGCCAAGGCCGGCGTGGAGGGGTAACCGCCTCGAGACTTTCGTGTGTACACCGATAACTGGTTGTTGAGATGAAAGGTAACACTACGTATTGATTATCTGGGCGACCATCCCTCGACGTTCTGGTACTCTTTGGACCCAACTCTTTCATGCCCTGCTTCGGGAAACGCCCAAAGCACACTTAGTTTGGAGGCGCAGACATTTTTGTACATTCTTTTGCGTTTAGGTGTGTGATCGCAAAGGACGTACATGTTTTGCGACAGCCGCCCCTCCTCTGCCCCTCTCCCTGCGCCCCTGCTTGGAATGATGAGTGCACTTACACTTATGGCACTATTTCGGGAGCACACTCTTGTCTGTACACCACGCCGTGGCTTGCCGTGCCAATCCGTGCCCACCCGTGGAAGGGGCTGTGAGGTCCTCGCTGCTGCCTCGCGGGCCGTGCCGCACAGTGGGCCAGAAACCGGCGCAGGCTGCCAAAATTCCGGACGCGTTTCGAGCTCCAGAGTCGCTAAATGAGACTCGAATCGAACGTGTGACCCCACCAATGGATTGCTCTCCGAACGAGGAATCCATTGGTGGGGTCACACGCCCGGTTTGAGGCCCATTCAGCGACTCTGTAGCTCAAAACGCACTCCCAATTTCCTACTGAGAAATGCCGTGCTGTCATAATACTAAGCGAATTCTTAGTACTTTACGACACAAATCTGTCATAATACAGAGAAATTTGTTCGTAATATGAACAAAGTGGTCATAAGTTACTGAGAACGCTTCACCATAGGTTACTACCTTCGCTGTGCTGTCATAATACTAAGCTTTTTGTTCGTAATACGAAGAAAAAGCTCAGTAGGAAATTGGGAGTGCGCGTCTAGAATTTTGGCCGCCTGCGCCGGTTTCTGGCCCACTGTGTGCCGTGCGCCGTGCCGTGCGCCAGGCTGAATCCAAACAGGAGGTTCGCCGCTGTCTCTCTCGCACCCCATGCAACGGCACGCCCCACGAGTGCGAGAGAGACAGAGCGACGCTCCGCTTCGCTCTGCCCCGGCCGTGGTACTGCCGTGGTACTGCCGTGGCGGCGCGAGGCGAACTGTGCCCCGCATTACCAGCTAATTTAAAAGCCACATTTCAGATCGGCTGCGCGGCGAGGGACGAGAAAGACGAGAACAGAAGAGGAGGCGAGAACGTCTGCGCCTTGAGGGTAGGCAGAGAGCCGTCTGAATCGAGAAAGTTTTCCGGATTTCCACCTCGTGGTATGTGATGCAGCTGATTAGTCGGTTTCAAGTAACCGTGTTTACTCTCGCAACGAAAATCTCGATTGTTGGAACGAGGTCAATCGTTATGGCAAACCGAATTTTCGCTCTGCCAATCAAAAATTTCGTTTCCAGAGGGAGATAGCTTCCTCTCCTGGAACGGAACCAACTGAAAAATCGGTGTTCTAACTTTTAACCGGTTCGTCTGACTTAACCTTTCGCTGTTGTTGTTGTTGTTGTTGTTGTTGTTGTTGTTGCTGTCGTTGGCAGCCGCCCCAACGCGCGGTGAGGATATGCGCGGTCCTCGCGTGCTGCAGCGCACATGCGTCTGCAGGAAATGCACTGCGTGCAGTGCGGTTGCACTCCTGCACTGCGACAAGGACGGCAGGACGTGTCCTTACCGGTCCTTGCACGCGTGTCGCGCACGCACGCACGCACACACTCACACACACACACGCACACACTCACACACACACACGCACACTCACGCACGCACGCGAGCGCGGGTCGCGCACCCATGCCACTCACACTCCCAATTTCCTACTGAGCTTTTTCTTCGTATTACGAACAAAAAGCTTAGTATTATGACAGCACAGCGAAGGTAGTAACCTATGGTGAAGCGTTCTCAGTAACTTATGACCACTTTGTTCATATTACGAACAAATTTCTCTGTATTATGACAGATTTGTGTCGTAAAGTACTAAGAATTCGCTTAGTATTATGACAGCACGGCATTTCTCAGTAGGAAATTGGGAGTGCATGAGAGGCTCATGAGGCAAGAGGAGGCGAAATCGGGAGGCCGGCCCGCCAGCCATTCGCCAAAGAGACGTCGATGAGTGCGGGCCGCGGGCTGGTTCCGCATGGCAGTGGCTCCGTCTCCCTCGCACTCGCGGGACGGCCCGGGAGGGTGCGAGAGAGACAGGCGCTGCGGAGCCGTCCCGTCCCGGTGCGACGCAGCGTCGTCGCCTTCCTCTTTTTGCGCGTGCCGTCGTCGCGTCGCTCGCTTAGCACACGCGGCGGTCGTGGTCTTGACGTGGGGGATCAGCAAATTGCACGGTGTAGGCACGGTGCGGTGTGGTGCGGCGCGGAGCATGGCGGGCCGGCCCCAAACTCACGGCCTGGCCCACGGCGGCGACGGAGGAGGCGGGGTCCGGGGGCCGCACAGCCCGGCGCACGGCCGCTCGGGCCCAAGGTGACACGCCAGGGTGGCGGCGAGCAGGGCCGTCCCGGAGGTCGTCCTGGAGGCACACTGCCGGACTCGAGTCCGGTCACTGGACGAGTCCGACTCCGGCTTCGTCGATAGTCGATGCGGTCGGGCTGGCCGGGCCGGGGGAAAATTCCCGGCCAGGAGTCCGTCCGCGATCGTGCATGGGTGTCGTCGTCGTCAAGACGAAACGCTCTGGTAATCGCCTCAGTCAAGCACTCGTAGGAGAAATAATGGAAAAAACAAGAGTGTGCAAAATAAAAAACGTGTTCGGTGTCAATGACGGGTCAATGTAATGAGTGCCATCATTGGAGTACAGTTGTTGGAATGGAAGCACCGAGGCGCCGCACTGCCGCACGCGCTCGAGATTCCCGCTCGGCTTTTTGCTTTTTGCCCGCGCGCAGCTCGCGCATTCAACTCCCTGCGTGAACTCGACGCGACCCGCCAAAGAAATCCAAGTGAACTCTACCAAAATTATTAAAAATAAGTACCAGTCCTGAGATGAGGGATGCTTGCCCTGACACTGCCACCCTCCGCCGCCCCGCCCCTCCCCGCCCCACGTGTCGAAGGCGGTGAAGGCGTGGCACAGTGGGCCAGAAGACCGGCGGAGGCGGCCAAAACCCTAGACGCGTTTTGAGCTACAGAGTCAATAAATGGGACTCGAACCGAACGTGTGATCCATCCAATGGATTGCTCTCCGAACGAGGAATCCATTGGTGGGGTCACACGTTCGATTCGAGCCTTGTTTCGCGAATCTGGAACTCGAAACCCGTCTCGAATTTTGGCCGCCTCCACCGGTCTTCTGGCCCACTGTGCGTGGACGCTTCGAGTGCCGCCGCTGTCCGCCGTGCCGTGCACCGCGCGCTGCAGACTGATTGCGAACACTGCTTTCGTCGCCACCTGCGACGCAGCGACGATGCACTGCTGGGAGTCGAGTCCGACGGCTCGTGCTGGCTCGCTGAATGAGTCAGCTGTTTGCAGGGTCAGAGCGGGACTGCCCACTGCACTGCCCAGCACGGGGGCAGTGTGCAAGATTGGTGCAAGAGAGAGAGAGAGAGAGAAAGAGAGAAAGAAAGAAGCGGCGAAAGGCCCAGCGAGGGTGACAGTGCATTCCTGCCATTCTTCCCGCCATTGCACGCGCAGTGCCCCTGTGCTCGATACTTACAGTGGCGCGGGGCTCGCTCGGTTTCCGCGGCACTGCAGTGTTTACTGCCAACAGTCCCATAAACGCACCCGCCATGCACTATTCGCAGTGGGCGCGGGCGAACACAGTGGGCCCTGCCCTAGAGGGCGGGGTTCCGTTGCACATCGCATTCGCGGGTTCGCGGTGTATGTTCAACCGAGTGAAGCTGCCGTAGTGCCGAGCCGAGCCGAGCCGAACCCAGCGAGAGCCGAGCCGAGCCCGCCCCGCCCCGCCCCGCCGCTACGGCCGTGCGGCTGCCGGGCTGCCGGCCGCCGGCGCCGTGCCTCAAGTCACCTGTCCGTTCCGTCCGTTCAGTTGCGGTCGAACCGGCGAGCGGCGCGCGTGTGTGCGACAGTGTCTAGTGTCGGTGTGAGTGTGTTTGTGTCTGTGCTGTGTGTCCGGGCCATGGCCCCTCTGCCTTGCTAGGGCCTAGGGACGCTAAGGAATACCGACCAGGCCGTCGCTTCTCCGCCGCAGCGGCCACAGCCCTCGGGGCCCCAGAGCCCAGCTTGACCACCGGGCGACGAAGACCGAGTAAACACGGTGAGTGAGAGAGAGGGAGCGGGGCGTGACGGATTTGGAGCGCGGCACGCACCACGCCGGACGCTTCTGTTGCAACGACAATTGCAGCGGCCTACAAGCACTATGCAAGCACCTCGCGAGATGCAAGCACTATGCAACCGGAGGGCAACCGCGGCGGCACTCTACCAAAAATGTCCTGTAAATGCCGTTAATTTATTACCAGTTTTCACTGTAGGTCAATTCACAGCGTTTACTGTGATCTGCTCACGGGATTCACTGTGATCTTGTTCGCGGTGTTCACTGTGATCTGGTCCCCAGTAAACACTGTGAGTTTGACGCCGCTGGGCACCGAAGTACTGCAAATCAGGCTCCAATTCACGGCGTTTACTGTGGCCAGATCACAGTGAACACTGTAACCGAGATCACAGTGAACGCCGTGAACTAGTTCACAGCAAACGCCGTGAATTACATAACAGCAAACATTGGTAATAAATTAACGGCGTTGACAGGACATTTTTTGTAGAGTGGGCACTGTAAGGCAGTGCGGCACCGGCGGGGGGCGGGGCCAAGCCAGGCCAAGCCAGGCCAAACGGCCAAACGAGGGGAAAGGTTGCAAGATTGTTCCGAAAGTGCGTGTGGGTCGCGGCAAGCGGCACGGCCACGGGGGCCACTGCAGGCTCATTCCGAGCACAGCCCTCGTCGCGCTGTCTCTCTCGCACTCATGGGGCGTCCCGTAAGGGTGCGAGAGAGACAGCCTCAAAGGCATTGCTCGGAATGAGCCTGCTGGGCACGCGTCCCGCGATCGCCTTGAGCCACTCGACACGCCTACAGTGCAGTGCAACCGAACTTTTACTCTCAGTCTTGGCGACAGTCAGGGGCGGCTTGAAGTCGAGCCGCCGAAATGGGTGTGGGTTATCGCCCATCAGGGTGCCGAGAGCACTCCGCGGCGCAGGCGCTGGGCGGCGCGGTAGGCAATGTTGAGCCTGCAACAGGCAACCTGTGCCAGACTACCCCCTATTTTTTCTGAATCTCTTGTCGCCGCTGGCTGTGGCTAGCCCGCTGGCCACGGCACTGGCACTGATAGCGTGCAGCCCGCAGCGCGGCGCCTCGCCCAGTGCCCAGCAGACCAGACCGCCGCTGGGGAAGTCCCAAGACGACCGTGGAGCGCGGTGGCGCGGTGGCGCCGCCGGCCTCTCGCGGCCTGCAGTGGACTGCCGTCTGATTCCGAACACTGCTTCGTCGCTCTGTCTCTCTCGCACCCCTACGGACCGCCCCATGAGTGCGAGAGAGACAGAGCGACGAAAGCAGTGCTCGGAAGCAGACGGCTGGCTCGCGTTGTCTCACTCGCACCCCCGCGGGACAGGCGGACAGGGCCCACCCCACGCGTGCGGGGAAGACGGCGAACTCGGCCAGGCTCCGCGGAAAAGCACCCGCCGACCCGCGGTCCACCCGGTCCACCGACCACCGCGACCGCCGCCATCGGCGTGGTCGATTTGATTGGCGTGCATTATGGAAAACGAGGCGGTCTGGTCGGCGAGGCGCCACGGCAATCGATGGCCGCTGCCCGTCGCTCTGTCTCTCTCGCACCGACGGGGCGCCCCATGAGTGCGAGAGAGAGAGGGGAGGAAAGAGGGGGGGGGGGTGCGGGGGAGTTGGTCAGTCGGTCAAAGAGCGCCGAGTCGAGAATCTCTGTCTCGGTGCGCGATTTGTCGTGGATCCGGCCGGCGCCAAGGTTGCCTTCCTGCAGTACTGCGGCGGCGCGGCGCGGTCGTAACCCCCAATCTGGAGTGGAAGGGAAGGAATGGCTGTGCATAATTGACGCTGTCAAGATCAATGGCGGGTCGGCCCCTCAATCCCCGCCGTTCCTGGAAACGTGTTTTCCTTGCGGCGCCGCGCCGAGTGTGGAGGGCAGGCACACTGGCAAACACACGCGTCCACATCGCCGTTTCCCTGGAAACGAAACAGTGCCGGCGCGGGGGCGTTGACTCATTCGGGTCCAGGGTCCACGCCGTCGCTTTTTGAATGCAACTCGTATATGTAGATTTCAGCCAACCACTATTGTTAATCAAGGAAACAAAAGTCGAGTTTTTTGTTTAGATCTCCATTTATGCCGAGCGTTGGCAACTTGTTGCCTCTTTCTCGCGTGCATTTTGTTGCGCATGCCAACTTGTCGCGAGCCAGTGGTTTCAATGATTAGCGTCATCTCTGCTGTAGAGTTGCATTCAGTTCGTGTCGGAGAAGCGCGCGCAATTTGACTTGATCGAGGCGCTGTGGTTATCTTTACCTGTTTGGTGTTTGGAATCGTAATTAATGCCGCGGGGCGGGGCGGGGCGGGGCGGGGCGGGGCGGGTGCGTCGGTGACGCACTGGGTGACGGTGAGGGCAGGGCAGGGGCGCTCGCCTGGCCGTGTCGTCCGCAGGCCTTAATGCGCCCCGCCGGGCTAAATATAACGTGCGTGCTTGTTAACGGCGGCGACGCGCGCGCAGACTCGCGCTGTCTCTCTCGCACCCCTACCGGTCGCCCCGCGAGCGCGAGAGAGACGTCACTGTTTGGTTCGGAATCTGCCGGGTGGCGCGGCGCGGAGCGGAGCGGGCAGCGCGCAAAACGCTGTCATCACGCGGGTAAAAATGAAGCGCTATCAAGGCTCCATTTCTAAATGCATGCCGTGAGAGTCGGTTGCCAACGTCAGCAGCTGATTCCGCGCGGCGCGGGAGTCTCTGTCTCTCTCGCACGCGTCCGCGACGCCCCGCGACGAACCGCGACGCCCCGCGAGTGCGAGTCTGGTTGCTGGAGCGCGCGGCTGCGTGCGGCACGACGTATACGTACGTACGTACCGCGCGAAGGAGACCATTTGGAAAAGTTTGCGCCAGGAATAGACGGACGCGCGGGCGAAGTCCTAACTACACCGGAAGGCGAGACCCAAGCGCGAAGCGCGTTAGCGCCTTGATGAGCAGGACGCGCGCACCGCGGGCACCTCGGCGACTACGCACGTCGGGGCGGGGCGGGGCGGGGCGGGGCGGCCTCTCGGCTGGAGAAGGCAAACTCTGCCTCTTGTTTTCGGCGCGGTGGTTCATTACGCCGACATTCCGGCGAGCGAGCCGCGGCTTGGCTGGCTGGCTTGGCCACCGGCCGGCTGGAGAGGGCCGCGTCCGAAACGGCCACCTCACTCGGCCGCGCCTCGCTGTGCCGGCCGGGCCGGGCTGTGGCTGTGACGGCAGCGCAGGCTCTGCTCTCCGGACGCGTCCCCCCGCGTGGTCCAGGCCGTCCAGGCGCTCTAGGCAGGCCAGGGGCACAGCCCGGCACAGAGCCTGCCACAGCCACCCTGCGGCACGCGCCAAGTGCGTACGCACTGAGTGCGACTGCGTCTCGCAGCGCACGACAAACGCGAGGCTGTCCCCCGGACGAGGACCCTGGCGAGTCATGGGTTCTCCGGACCTGTCTCGCTCTCGCCCTCATGGGGCTAGCAGGGGTGTGACGGAGGTTGTTCTGAAATCAGCCAAGGTAGTTGTACGTACACTGGTCGCAGGATGACCCCGGATCCATGGGGGGCGTTGCCCGCATGTCCGAGGCGGGATGAAAAAAAAGAAGAGTATTACGACTGGAGAGGAGAGGACTGACTGGAGCCATCGCACCTGGAGAACGTGTTTGCAACTGGTCGGCCAACGCTGGGCCCAGCCATGGCGCTGCGCCAGCCGCGCTGGACCGGCCCAAAAGGGTTCGCTGGATGCACACGCCCCGCCCCGCCACGCCACGCCCCGCCACGCCACGCCCCGCCCCGCCACGCCCCGCCACGCCCCGCCACGCCCCGCCACGCCCCGCCACGCCCCACCCCGCCCCACCACGCCCCGCCACGCCCCGCCACGCCCCGCCACGCCCCACCCACCCCACCCCACCACGCCCCGCCACGCCCCGCCACGCCCCGCCACGCCCCGCCACGCCCCGCCACGCCCCGCCACGCCCCGCCACGCCCCGCCACGCCCCACCCCGCCACGCCCCGCCACGCCCCACCCCGCCACGGCCCGCCACGCCCCGCCACGCCCCACCCCACCCCAAGCCCGTAAAAGCGATTTTTCGGGTCCCTGACGCGAGGAGACGATATTTTGGTTCCCGGACAGCCCTTCCGACCGCCGACCCACACGGGACGTCTGAGACCCGGGTGAACCAGGACTCCGTACTCTGTCTCTGCCGGGCAGCCCACCCATGGCTAACCTTGACTCTGCTCCTCTCGGAACCTGTTTCTGGTTCCCTGCTGCAGCACGCTGCAGGTTGTGCAACCTGCTTCGCCTGCGTCGCTCGCTGCCCCGCCGGGGTGATGTCCGCAGGACAATGCCCACTGGGCCGTGACTGGGGCCGTGAGGCCCTACACCCTGGCGGCCCCGCCGTACTGTCTCTCTCGCACCCCTACTGGCCGCCCCACGAGTGCGAGAGAGACGACAGCCAAGGCGAATGCGAATGCCTCTGGCGGAACTGCGGAAGCCGGATCGGGGTCGCACTGTCGGATTGTTGGCGAAAGTGCGCACAACGGCGCTGCTCTGAAAATTTGGGTTGACACTTGATGACAATGTCAAGCCTACTCTTGACTCACGTCCGAGCCATTGTCGTTTCAGGAACGCCGAATACGCATCAATAAGCAATGCCACGACCGTTTCCCAGTAATAACGTCACTCTTGATTTTGTCCGAAAGTGACTAAAATTTTTGACAGTGTGGCCGCGACGCCTTGTCGTTTGTTTGAGGCGTGCGATGGACTCGCGCCCCTGGGCCCCAGCCGGCCCAGCCTCAGCCTCCCGAGGTGCAAAGTGGCGCGGCCGGACAGGCCTCGTGGACGATGCACTCTTGTGCGCGGCGCAGCCCGATGACGTATTTTCCACGCCGTGATCCGGGTGGCCAGCGCCTAGGGGCAGTGCGATAGGCAAACTTGCATTTCGGAAAGGCCGCAGAGAAACTGGAGAGTCATGTCCACGGCCTCCTCGCCGCCGTGCAGTGCAGGCCCTGCTGGTCTCGGGGACGCGTCGTCCTCGGCCTGGCGGTCTGGCAAGCCGGCGGCCCAAGCCGCTTTTTATTGCATTTATAACGTCCTTCGATCCGAGGCCCGGTGGGCCCGGTGGGCCGGGGCTCGGCGCGGCTCTCTGCGACGAGGAAGTGACCTTGGCGCGCCGCGGTCTCGGCGGGGACGCCGGGGACGTCGGCCGGATATGCACATTATGCATGGAAACCAATCGGGGAGGTGTCTCTGGCTTTGCCAAGCTTCGCCGGGAACTGGACCGACGGGGGTGAGCTGGAGGGGGGGGGGGGGGGGGGCAAGGTCGCCAAGGAGCGCCTCGATGCCCGATGCGTTGGCAGAAGCCGGCGGCCTTTCCCGGCCGGTGTGTCAGCGAGTGCTTAGTTAGAAAAGGCGGGCAGGCGAGCTGGGCCGGTGTGGCGTGGTGGCGTGGCGGCGTGCCCCCGCCCTCCATGCCCTCCGTGCCGCGCGTGCGTCAGCAAGCAGCAAGGCGTCAGCGCGGCAGTGTGCCAGCCAGCGGCAGCGCCCTGGACAGCCCTGGACTCCAGACGGCCCACTACACCGGAACCTCGCCGGTGCGCGGCTGCGGTCCAAGACCACGCCGCACATCACTCTATCTCTCCCGCACTATCATGATGCACTGTCTTGGTGCGAGAGAGACGGAGCGGCGCGGCGAAGCGCCGGGCGGAATCAGTCTCTGTTGGCACTGCGGTGGCAGAGACCCTAGGCGGCGTGAGGGTGTCGGCCGGCGCAGCGCGCAGCAGCGCGGTGTTTGCGGTGTGGTGGCGGCGGCGCGCGCAGGGCAGGGCGGGGCAGGGCGGGGCGGGGCAGGGCAGGGCAGGGCAGGGCAGGGCAGGGCAGGGCAGGGCAGGGCGGGGCAGGGCAGGGCAGGGCAGGGCAGGGCAGGGCAGGGCCACGGCAGGGCCACGGCAGCCTTCGGCCTTTGGCGAGGCGAGGCGATGGCGGAGGCTGATGGCGGACCCACCAAGTCTTCGCGAAGGCTCGCGGCGCCTCGGCGCGACTTTTACGCGCGTCGAGATGGATGGCGACGAGCTTGATCGGCCGCCATTGACGCACTAGGTGAAGATGGAGACCTAAACCTCCGGAACGGAACGGCTGCCGCTGACGCTGGCTCGCCGAACCCGGTTCGGGCCAAGCCGTCAAGCCCTAGTGGCGGTGCCATGCCGGCCGGCCACGCCAAGTCCGGTCTGGAGGGAGAGTGGTCGCCAGTCAGTGTGCAGCTCGGCACTGTCAAAAAATTGGGAACGTCAACACTAACTTAAATTTCGTCTGCACCCAGTTTGACGACACAATGGAAAAAATTTTGATGCAAAATAATTGCGCGTGCACGTGACGGGTGGTAGACTTTTGAGCAGCTCCTTCGTCTTTGGAGAGGAAGTGGCGCACCTGGGCCTCGCGGCCTCGCTCTGTGAGCCAACGACCCCTTGCTGTTTTTGTTTTGTCGTGGAAATGTTTTTTTTCTGGGGTGCCTTGTTCCTCGTGGCTAGGCTTGTGCCGGCTTGCGCGCGAGCAGTGGAAGCAGGCATGGCATGAAAGTGTGGCATGGTCTCCCTCTGGGCAGGGGCGATGGCGATCCCCTCCCCTCCCCTCCGCCGGCTGGTTCGGCCGCGTAGGGCCGCGTCAGCGCTGAGGGTGTCGTGGTGCCGTGCAGGCGACGTGCGCACTGGCAGCCCGGCTGCAGACCGATTCCGAGAGTCGTTTTCGTCGCTCTGCCTCTCTCGCACCTATACGGGGCGCCCCACGAGTGCGAGAGAGGCAGAGCGACGAAAACGACTCTCGGAATCGGTCTGCAGTGCAATGCGCCGCTGTCCGCTTCTTCTTCTTGTGAGCTGACTTGGCTCTCGCCCGCGGCCCGCGAGGCTTGCCCGGCTTGCGACACACATGGCCGGGTCGCTGATGAGTGAACGAAAAAAGGTAGCGAACTGGTGCTGAGCGCTGCCCCTTTTTGCCGCAGCGCCCCGCCTCGGCGCCTCGGATCGCTCTGCATGTCAAATGAGAAGGCTCAAAGTGCCGGCCTCGCCGTCTGGCGTCCCTGCGAGGGCCTCGCCGCTTCTTGCAGCGACGCGTCGCGACGCGGTGCCGGCGGGTACTCTGCGGGAACTTATCGCGTGTGGTGGTTGCAGATGACGGAGATGGTGGAGACGGGGGGCATCCCCATGGGGGCGACGCGGCGCCTCCAGACGCAGAAGTCGACGGTGTGGACGCGCCGCCAGCAGGCCGTGGCCGTGCGCAGGGCCTACAAGCGCTACGGCTCCAGCAAGAACCCCAACCAGATCCTGGACGGCCTCAACATGACCGTCCCCAAGGGCACCATGTGAGTACCGAGCGCCTGCCAAGTCGGGGGTAGGCAACCCGGCGGGGCGACGTGGTCCGCGGGACCGCCTGCCCGCCGGGCGTTCTTCGCCACTTGACCGGCTGCACTTGGATGGTTGTTTCCTCACCGCCCTGCCTCGCCCTGCTTGCCCCTTCCAGCTACGGCCTCCTGGGGGCGTCGGGGTGCGGCAAGACGACGCTGCTGAGCTGCATCGTGGGTCGCCGGCGCCTCAACTCCGGCGAGATCTGGGTGCTGGGCGGCCGGCCCGGCTCCAGGGGCAGTGGCGTGCCCGGGCCGCGCATCGGCTACATGCCGCAGGTAACATTCGCAGGCCGACTCTGTTTTCTATCTCTTGTTTACACTTGTAACGCTCACGGACACGTCGAAACTGCTGTCGCTTTTTTTCGGCTCGGCGATGACTGGTGAATCCGGTTCGCAGGAAATCGCGCTGTACGGCGAGTTCTCGATCCGCGAGACCATGATCTACTTCGGCTGGGTGGCCGGCATGACGACGGCCGAGGTGGAGGCGCGCCTCGAGTTCTTCATCAACTTCCTGCAGCTGCCGCCCGCCACGAGGGCCGTCAAGAACCTGAGCGGAGGGCAGCAGCGCCGCGTGTCGCTGGCCGCCGCGCTGCTGCACGGCCCCGAGCTGCTGATCCTGGACGAGCCCACCGTCGGCGTGGACCCCGTGCTCCGGCAGAAGTGAGTGGCACCGCACCGACCGTGGGCACGGGGCAGCACGGGGCACGCCGACAAGTGTGACACTTTCTTTGGTTGCAGCATCTGGGACCATCTGGTGGAGATTACGCAGGGCGGCCAGTGCACTGTCATCATCACCACGCACTACATCGACGAGACCAAGCAAGCTGGAATGGTGGGTGGTGCGGAACAACCGGTTTAACTTAAATTTGAATTTGGTCTCAATGTATTTCCTTCATGTGCAGATTGCTCTCATGCGTGGTGGCAAGTTCTTGGCTGAGGAATCTCCTGAGATGCTGATGCGAATGTACCAGAGTGATTCTCTGGAAAACGTTTTCCTCAAGCTATCATTGGCGCAAATCCAGGGCAAGAGGCGTAGATCTATTTACCTAAAAGAAGTCACTGGGTCAGAAGATCCTGCAGGAGTATGTATAATTGTCCTATTTTGTTTTGTTTGATCCATTAAAAAAAACATAAAACAAATTAACTGATCCCCTCTTTGTCTTATCAATATTACAGGAGAGCGCTCCTGATAACATGTCAGAAATCAGTGGAGAGTTTGGAGACAACATTAGTATCAAAAGTGGGCGCTCTGAAGGACACCAATCTGTGGTATGTGATTGTATTTCAATTTATTTTGTTTTTAAGTTGTAATCTACTAGAACATGAAACACTTACTCTTTTTCCTAGACTGGCCCTTCTGACCTTCCTCCGGAAGATGAAACTCCATTTTCCTGTAAGGACATGTTCACTCTATTCTCACCCCATCGTATGAAGGCTCTGATTTGGAAAAATTTTCTATGGATGTGGAGGAATTTTGGGTATGTAATAAGCCAGTAACATCTTTGGTAACACTTAGCAAGTGAACAATTTCTTAAGGTAATAATAATAATAATAATAATGATTGTTTTGTTTTCAGGGTCATGGCATTTGTTATAGGTCTACCAGTTGTGCAAATTTGCTTGTTCTGTTTCTCAATCGGTCGTCCCCCAATTGGGTTGCATCTGGCTGTTGTCAACAACGAACTAAACAATTACACTGATCCTTGCCACTTCAACACAAACTGTACCATTGACATGCTGAGTTGTCGATATTTATCACAACTGCAAAAATATAATGTTGTTGAGGTGAGTTTGAAATTATCATGTAGACACTTGAGTCAGGAAAATCAGTAGCTAATATTAGTTTTATTTAAGGTACCATATCCAAATGAAATGGAAGCCAAGCATGCGGTTAAACTTGGCCATGCTTGGGCTGCACTCTCTTTCCCAGAAAACTATTCAACAAGTCTCTATGACAGACTTCAACAGGGAAAAGATGCTGATGACTCAGTGTTAGACTTCAGCAACATTGACATTTGGATGGATGCCTCAGGTATAGTGAACTAAACAAACTGAAATTTAAACTAAAGTAAAAGTTTTACAAATCAAATCAATTTGACATTCATTCAATACTTTGTTCCAGATCAACAAATCCATCAGCTTCTGACAAGAAGCCTTCTGCTTTCATTTGAGGACTTTGTTGCTGATGTTTCAAGAGCATGTGACTATTCAGAAAAAGTGATGAAAATCCCTGTTAATGTGAGTTTGTTTGCTCTTATGGGTTTGTCTTAAAGCACCAAGAAACTTAAACATTAATTTTAATATTGCTTTTTAGTTTGAGACTCCTATCTATGGAAGCAAAAATCCTGACTTCACAAATTTTGCGGCTCCTGGAATTATCCTTACGTTAGTAGATCACTTCATATTTATTAAATTGAATTATAAGAATTGGAAAACATTTTAACTTTCTTTTCATTTTACAGCATCATTTTCTTCTTGTCAGTGGCTTTGACATCAGGTGCTATGCTCATTGAAAGAAATGAGGGAATCCTTGAAAGAAGTTTGGTGTCAGGTACTTACATGGCATGATTAAGATGTTTATCTGTTTTCTTGGCTTCAGTGAAAATAATTTTGTGTCTTTTTTTGCAGGTATTACTGGAACTGAAATTCTATTTTCTCATGTGGTAACTCAGTTTTCTGTAATGTCCGGTCAAACTGTCATGGTGCTGCTGTTTGCTTTTATCACGGTTGTTGATGTCAATGGAGGTCTTGGATGGGTGGTACTCCTCACTGTCCTCACCGGTTTATGCGGGATGACTTTTGGTACGGTAAACAGTCTATAATACTGTAACATTCAAAATGTCAGTAAAAAAATAAAAGATTTTTTTTTCTTCTCTAACAGGATTTGTGGTGTCGTGTTCAGTTGACAATGAGAGAAATGCTACATACATGGCCCTAGGCAGCTTCCTCCCCATTGTAATGCTTTGTGGTAAGTAACTAATAATTTTCAAATATGAGCTCACTTAGGCTGTTGTCTAGCCAGATTCTTTTCTTTCAGGTATTATTTGGCCGGTCGAAGGTATGCACGCTGTTCTGAAGTTCATTAGTTTCTTCCTTCCGTTAACAAAATCGACTGAGTCAATGCGAGCCATGCTAGCAAGAGGATGGGGTATCACCAGTCCAACAGTGTACTTCGGTTTTGTCTCTACTTTACTGTGGATTGCAGTATTCCTTACTCTTAGTATATTATTGATAAAGTTCAAAAAGGGTTAAAACTTGGTGTAGTCTTGAAAAACCATCTCTGTGATCATTCAATTTTATGCTCTAATTAAAGTGGTGGCCTTTTTTTAACATTAGACTTGCTTAAATTTTTCTTTCTTGTTTTTTTTTAAAATAACTTTTCTTTTAACTCTAAGCAACTCTTTTGTCCCTTTCCTGTAGTGAGAAGAGAATTTTAGGAAATGAGATGTTCAATGTGATGTTTACAAGGCTGGTACCCTTCATACTTTCCCAAAAATCTTGATATCAATGTTCTGTTTGTTTCTCTAGGCCACCCTCTTACAAATAAGATATAGATAAAAATTATCATAATTCAGGGTGTGTTTTAAACACTTCTTAAAACAGGAATTCATCTTTTAAATTTAAATTATTAATGTGTGCTTTAAAAATGTGTCAATTTGTTTGCTCTTGAAGCTGGAGCAACAATTACAATACAAATTATAGTGTCATATGTAGCAGTGCTGGCTTTTATTGGGGTTTTTATAATGCACACAGATCAATTATTGTGATTTGTGATTGTAAGTAAAAATTGTAAATATGATGTGGACAAATTCCATCGATATGCGATATGTAGATAGTTAAATTGTAGTCTAAAGAGATGATGTAAAGTTGCAATCATTAATCGCCTGAAAAACAGCTCAACTATTATAATAATAATATTCACAGAGTAAATGTTCTTCTGTGAGAAATAGTATCTAATAGCTCTCTAGTTCCTTTTGTAAATACTTTTTAAAAGAATAGAAAGTAGTGAGCACCTGTATACAGCTCAAGAAAAGTTGTTGGAATATTTTGTTGTAATTTATTTTTAGTCATGCTCTTCTCACCTATCCATGGGATGAAGACAAAAAGATTCTTGCAAATGCATACCATGTTACATAAACATTGTGATGTCATTTTGTAAACTGTTGTTTGTACCGCTTAGGAATCAAATAAATACTCAAATGTGTAGTTTAAAATTTATCATAGTACAATAGGTGGTTTTGTTGACTCTTCAACAAGTTTCTCCACCAGATGGCTCTGGAGCTGATTCCAGGTCCTTGATTCTCTTTTGGGCTTGCCTCAGACGATATTGCAAAATACTCACTTTATGCTGACTACGCTTGAATTCGGCTTTCACTAACTCCAAAGACTTCTCTGCCTTTTCTCTTGTATCAAAGTTGCTCAAAGTGAGTTCAGCTATGTGACACTTTTTCTGTTTTGGTCCACTGTCAAAAATTAAGAATGTGAGTAATCTTTCAAGAGAGAGAAAAACAATCAGTATTTACAGTATTGGGACAAAATTTAAAGTTAAGAAATTAAGGAGGAAATAATGTTACCTGGTGCCCAACGGTCTCGTCAGTCTCGAAGAATATTCATCACTGCAAACAAAAGCAGCAAACCAAAGTGAATGTTTTCAAGATATGAAAGATTGAGCAAATAATGTTGCAGTGTTCTACCTTTCAATGTGGTCTGGGTCCATTCCTGCATTTCCTTCATTGCCATAGTCATAAGAACAATTTGGCCTGTCAGGTGAAGAGTTTTCTTTGTTTCCCTGTGACAAAACCTGCTCTTGGGGATAGCTGAAGCTGAAGCCGCCAATACGACTCCCAGAGTTGTGTGAAACAGCATGGGCAGAAGCATTTGATATTTGGCCAACACTCGTCAATAAATCACCTGCGTTCAATTCTGCTGATGCTACCACATAATCCTGATCAAAATCGTTAAGTTTGTCCAAAAGTGCAAGATGATCCATTCGAGGAATGAGATGACAATGATATGCTCTTTCAGCGGTGAATCTACGGAAACAAGCAGACCACATATAAGGTCACAGGTTTAAAACTCCACAATTATTGCAGTGCACCAAATCCGCTTCTTACTTATGACTTATGGTAGGCACTGCAGTTCTTAAAAGTCGTCCCGATGGAAGGTAACAGTCATCCTCAAAATGTGCTTCACACAGCCTGGCAGAACTGGTAGCCCCCGGTTTCCAGCCCAAAGTCCGATTGTACTTATTAACAAAGGCGACCCACTTTGCTCTAACGTTCTCATCTGAGGGGAACCTGGAACAGGTGGTTCATTAACCATGTAAATAAATAGCAGAGATGCTCAGCAGGTTGGGACACAGACGACAATCACGTTTCGAGCCTTACCGGTGATGGAGCACGGCACAGCTGTTTAGATCTTCCACGAAGCGGTTCGGACAAGCATACATAAAACAAAATTTAGGCATCTTGCCCTAATTTAACTCTTTAATTAAGAGGAAACGCACAGCAAACCAACAAACTGCGCTGAGTCGTCTGCAGGTGTGTTTGTTTGTATCTGCCGCCGGGGGATAATTCATATTGGTATTGGAGGGCATTTGCGCGGGAGAGGCTGCGCGAGGCTAGTGGGTGGGAGGGAACCGAACTGTTCAAATCAAGGCGAAACTTGAACTGCCAAGGGCTTCGTCTTTTGCGTGCCAGTACACTCACTCGCATTTTGCCTCTGCTCTCTGCGAATCAGTGATTAGAAAGGGGGAAACACGAACGTGCGAAAGGACCGGCAGCCCGTACGTCCGGCACAGCACGAGCAGCGCAGCCCTACGCAGCCCGCAGGCTGAGGCTCCGCAGGCGCAGCATCTCTCGGCTTGCAATCATGTCTTTATCACGATGGTCGCTCCGCTTCGCATCGCCTGCTTCGCTTCGAGATAAATCAAAACAAAACAACGAGAGCCGAAGCCGCGGGGCAGAGCGGCCGCCAAGTCTCACTCGAGTCCTCAATGGACGCGCGAGCGCACGCGTAAGGCACACGAGAAAATGCTGCCGGGGAACCTTCTGACCCTTCCCCTGGCGGTGCTGGTCGCCTTCTCCAACGGTGAGTGCGAATGTGTGCCGCGCCGTGAATGCGAGAGGGACCTGGTGGACCTGGTCCTGACGGCGGTGGGCCGCGAGTTGCAGAGTCGAGGTGGTCCGAGGCCGACTGGGAGGAGTCGCCGCCGCGCACGCCCAGCCCACTGCAGCCGCCGGGCCGCTGGAGCACGGCGACGTGGGGCGAGTGCAGCAACCCCTGCGGCGCGGGCGAGGAGCGGCGCCTGGTGTCGTGCGTGCTGGAGGACGTGACGGGCACCCTGCTCGTGGCCGCGGACGGCTTCTGTGCGCCGCCCAAGCCCGCCACCGCGCGCCAGTGCTACCAGTACCGTACCGAGTGCGCCAACGCCTGGGTCACTGGTGACTGGGGGCAGGTAGGGCCGCGAGCCGCACGTCGAGTAGTGTGTCTTGTACGTCGAGCCGGTGGCGGTAACTTGTGCTCCCGTTCGCAGTGCTCAGCCAAGTGCGGGGGCGGGCAGCGGTCCCGGCTGGTCGAGTGCCACAACGGGCGGCCAGAGGCGGCGCTGGCGTCGGTGCCCGCGCCCCTGGCCGACGTGCAGTGCGTGCCGCAGCTTCGGCCCGCCGACCGTCGCGAGTGCAACCTGCAGCCGTGCCCCGACGGGCGGCGCGTGTGGCTGCGCACGTCCGACGGCCGCAAGCCGCGCCGCATCCGCCTCTACTCCAAGTTCACCCTGCGCTGCCCTTTCCAGGTCTTCTGGACGCCCGCCGACGACCGCACCAAGTAGGCCTCCGACGGTGGGAGGGGAGGCCCCGGGGAAGTCCCTTCGGTTGACGGGCATGTCGTTTGCAGGAGGAAGTACGCGTGGTACAAGGACGGCCAGCGGCTGCCGGTGCACGAGGACAAGTACACCCAGACGGACAACCGCGGCGAGCTGCGCGTCAAGGGGGCCGACGTGGACGACAGCGGCGTGTACGCTTGCGCCTCGCTCACCGCGGACCCGCAAGGTAGGACTCCAGGAGGGATGCGGTGTACCTACAGCGCGCTCGGCGCTTTACAGTGTGGCGCGGCCCTTGCGCAGGCCGGATCCACAACATGACGGTGGTGGTGGAGCGCGTGGCGGGTGACCCCGTCCCCACGGCGCCCCCGCCGCCCCTCGAGGAGGCCGACGACTCCCCGGAGGAGCTTGACGGCGAGCCCGCCGCGGGCCCCAGCAGCGAGGCTCCACCCGAAAGTAGCACGTCGCCGTCGTCCTCGCCCCCGGAAGAGACCACAACGTCGGCGCCATCCTCTACGGTGGCCGAAGTGGCGTCAACTGCAGAAGTCCCAACGGAGTCTCCCAGCCCAGCTCCAGATGCGGGGCAACTGCCACAGCGTCGCAAGCGCGACCTGGACGACGCAGACTCCTCGAGTCCCATTATCGGTTAGCACACTGCACACAACTGTTTCTGCAACACAGGGTTCAAGTCCCTCGGAGGGAAAGCGCTTTTTCGTCCCGTTCACGTTCACAGCCGTGGTGGCGGCTCGCTACGACGCCGCGCCCTTCTCCAACTGCTCCGAGCAGTGCGGCGCGACGGGGCTGCGGCAGCGCGCGGTCCGGTGCGTGGACAACGAGACGGGCACGCAGCTGGCGCTGGCCGACTGCGAGGACCTGGGCCCGCCGCCGCCCCCGCAGGAACCGTGCAACCGGGTGGACTGCCCGGCCGCGTGGCAGTGGCCGTCCTGGGCCGGCATCAAGGTTGGCCTGCGGCATGGCATGCCTTGATTGCGGAATTCCGTTTGATGCGGGCCTCACGCTCATGCCCCTGGTGCGCTTGGCGCAGTGCTCCCGGCCGTGCGGCGGCGGCGCCAAGTGGCGGCAGGCGCACTGCTCCCAGCGGCTGGCCACCGGCGACGACGTGATCCTGGCCGCCAGCCACTGCGCCCACCTCGGCCCGGGGGAAGACCGCCGCGACTGCCACCGCGCCGCGTGCCGGTCGCGGGTGCGCGAGGGCGAGCTGCTGCGCCTGGAGTGCCGCGCCGCCAACGCCACCTGGAAGTACCAGGGCGCCGGCGGCGTGCGCAGCGTCGACGTGGCCAACGAGGACAAGTACCTCGCCGACAACGACACGGGCACGCTGTACGTGTACACGGCGGCGGCCGAGGACGCCGGCCTGTACCTCTGCCAAGAGGATGAAGGGGGTGAGTAGCGGGTAGCCACCGCAGCGCAGCGGCCAGCGCAGGCGCGCCGTGCTAAAGCCTCGTCCTTTGTCCCCTGTCGGCAGACGGAGTCCTGGTGACGCACCGCTACGAGGTGGTGGTGCTCCCTGCCTCGACGCCGCCGCCGCGCAGCCAGGGCGACGACGACGACCTGTTCGTGCGCGTGTGGGCCCCGGACACGACCACCACCAGCAGCGACAGCGACGGCACTACCGCTGCCTCCGAGCCTGAAGGGCCCGAAGCCTCGTCTAGGCCTGGCGGTGACCCTGGCGGTGACAGCCTGGTTGTGGACGACCCGGGCTACACGACGGAGCCGACGCCGCCGAAGATGCCCATCCCTTGGGAAGTGTTGTTCCTCCCTGCGGCGCCTACTAGAGGAAATATGCTGACCATTTTCACCTAGCTGTTGGCTGTCTTCAGAATCGGGAGTTCAATCAATGTACACTGCAAGGCCATTTCATGAACAATTCTTTTAATTATTTCAAGAGAGCCGCGCTTGAAGCATTACAAATATAAATGTAACAAAAGTTAAAGTGAAAAATAACATTTCTTTCCAAAAATAGAAACAACTTACTTCCAACATAAACTTCAAAACTTTACAGACTCAAAGACCCAAAATATAATACAAACTTTAGTACAAGTCTATACCTCTATCCTTAAAAGAACTAACAGAAAAACATGGTTGCTTCCTGAAGATGCAATAAACAAACACACAACAAATTCTTCCTTACACCTGAGATGATCCTGCACCTACAGCTACATACTATGATTTTTGATTTATATGATCCAGTGCGCTTGAAAAGCATATCACATATCATATCACATTTAAATGCTAACTAGCTTCACTGAGCGGTAAGTCTTTTTTTTTCAAGGTATGTAACCATGAACAATGATTAAAACAATCAATGGCAATATTGTACAAGTATAAAAGTTAAGACTTAAAAAATCTATACTTAGGTACTTAAGTACTCTTTGGATCCAAAACAGAGAACTTCAATTCTGTTAACAAAAGAAGAAACTCTCATGCCAGATGCAGTCTTAAATGAGTTTCTACATATTAAATGCCAGACTCAAAATTAAAATTATTACTGAGTAACTAGAAAAATCACAGTTATGCTATTGGTACAAAGTAAGTGAATTCCAAAAACTGGCAGCATTAAATTTTATATAGCCCTTTGTAACATATGTTCCAGTTGGATTTTGAAAGATGTGAATTGGCCGATTCCATTCTCAATTAGAACCCTAGAGATAAAGAGAAAAAAAATAAGGGGTTACACATATCGCTTAAAACCCTTAGGAAAAATAAAAAAAAATAAAAAAATAAAAAATACGGTCATTTTACCTGTGGCTATTACTTTTCAGAAAGAGTATAAGATCCCAAGGTGTAATACTGCTATCCCCTTTAATTAAAGAGACCAGTTCATTCACAGCTGGACTATCCTCTTTCAGAGAAGAAATAGGTATCGCCAATAAACTGCAAAATGAGAACAGATTTATCAAAACACTGGAATCTTCTAGGAAAACAAATATGAGGACATAAAAAGCACAACATACACGTTTAACAGATGCACCAGCTTCCCTACGGCTTCCATCATGCATTGGGCTCTCCGCACCTCATTTGAATCTGTCAGGTACTCTGATTTGCTGAATAACAAGAAAAGTGTTCACATTACTTTTAGTTTGTCTTGTAACAGGAGGAACTAGGAGAGCAAAAGAAACAAAATCCTGCAAACTTAAGATTTGAACTAGTTTCTACTGGTGCTTCAACTTACCAAATGTTTAAAGCAGCATTATGAGCCTCTTCAAAACACATTAGAACTAAATGAATCCTTTCGTCATTTTCAGCAACAAGTGAAGTTAAAGGAGAGTTTCCATATTTAATAAGAGAACTATTGTCATCTTTAGCCAAAGATGAGTCACCACAAAGTTTTGACTCCAATTCCTAAATAAGATAAATTCAATGTCAAATTTTGTCCAAGGTACGTACAGAAAACATTACAAACTGTGCCACTCTTAATTATTTTAGAACATACCTTTAGTCTCAAAAAGGCAATGTCAATTTTATCTCTATACTTTTTACTGACCCCTCTGAACACAGCTTTTGTCAACTCAAGACCTTCTTCTAAATCTGAAATGTTCAGACAATAGCCTAGATATAAAACAAACGCAATGACAATAAAATTTCTTGAAAGGCTTTTGATTCATTAAAATGACGTTAAAAACATCAGAAAGAAAGAAAAACACATACTTTTAGACATGGATTTTAAAAACTCCCTCAACTTCCGAATAGCTTCTCGAATAAGAGGAGGGATGAAGTCATCACAAATTGCAAGCCAATGGTGGCTCAAGCAATGCAAAACTTGATCATGTTCCCAGGGTGGGGGTATCACGGTCCTTTTCTCCCATAGATGGTTGTACTGCTCCTTCATGGCCTTTGAAACAATCTAACAGAGAGCAAGCGGAAAACCAAATTATAAAAAGGACAGCAAAATGTTGACCATACAGCTCCCGGACAAAATCTTACCTCAGACAAGATTTCTTTAATTATTGCTTTTAATTCAATCAAAAGATTTTCATAGATTTTATTTCTTTCGCCCTGGGCATCTTGAGCCAGTTTGTCTGAAATATAAGCAAAACCTAATAAAATTGTGTCTGAAATAGCATAATAGAGGCAAATTTAAAAATAACAATAGGTCCTCACTTAGAATAAGGTTTTTGTTTGAGGGCATGTCAGTGATTAAAGGGTCCTTCTTATCTTCATAAATTTGACCCGCAAGCTGGTCTTTGGAAACAGCAGTGACATCAGACACAATGGCCTTATTACGTAAATTTATGTCATTAGAGACAAGGATCTGTAAAAATACAAAACAACAGCTAAGAATTGGACCACATGAAATACAAGACATGCCTTTGAACACACGCAACAAGCCTTTTGTAACAATAATTTTTATTTCAAACAGTGAAGTTTTAACAGAGGTTTGGGCTTACCACATCAAAACACTGTTCCTTTAACTGCAGGCATGACTGCAAGATATTATCATCAGCACAATTAGAAGTATTTTTTGTAGCTTCACTAATCTTTTGACCTCGAATGCGTGAGTGTTTAGATGAGAATTTTTCATGCAAAAAGTTGATAGCTCGCCGGGCAAGTGGTTGTATACTCGACTTCCCTCTATCTTTTAAATGATCCAATTCATGTAGAACTTGCCAGGGAATGAAGAGATGGGCGGATCCCTTTCCTGTTAAATATGCAAAATGAAACTATAAAATGTGAAACTGGCACAAATCAAAAATATAATTGTCTGCACGTACCTGACAGATTACTAACTAAAAGTTCTGCTGTAAAATTAAGATGAGATAGGAGGATGTTCGTGTCTAAAACTATGTAAGTGAAAGATTTTGGGTCTGATTTTCCATTGACAGGTTCCATGTCAACATCCATAAAAATAGGTTTATTGTTCAGATCAACATTCACATCTTTTTGACGTAATTCTTCAATCTGCAATGACAAAGGCATGAGTAATGAAAAGAGTATCTCAATATAAGGAAAGTAATATATTGTTCAAAACCCTTCACACTCACATCGACTAAAACTTCTGATTCCATGTACTCAACTTCCATGGCTTCCATATCATGGTTTATATTATTACTGGCCATCGCAAATGGATGTACAGTAACTAGAAGAGGATGTACAATGACTAAAAGAAAGGTAAAGTACCAAAATTTGAGATGTTACAGGCAAATAATAAATATAGAAAGGAACAAGTATGGTGTTTGCTTACCTTGGGAATCGAGTCCAACAGGTGACTCAAGAGATCCTGCTTTTAAATTCATCTCCAAGTCACCCAATTGCCTGTCAGCAGGTCCATGTTCCTGACCTATTACAGAAAAAGATTTCACTAGTAAAGGAGAACCTAACTGAGAACATACAGTATAAAACAACAAATTTTACCTGAGGGTTTTCTTTTACTGTCTTTCTTGGCTGAAACAACAGTCTTTTTGGAGTCATTTGAGGAGCTCAAATGTTTTTCAACCACCTTTTGTGAATCATTAGAGGAGCACAACTGTTTTACAACAGCTTTAGACTGTTTCTTTCTCAATGAAGCTTGCAGCTTCTTCAGTCTTTCCTGTGCCTTTTCTTTAAATGTGTCTTTAAAGCGGGTCACATGAGACTTCTTGGAAACAGATCCATGATGGGAGCTTGATACGGTCTCAGAAGTTAAATGCTCACCAACATTTGCTATTGCAACAGCACCTTCACTATTAGTATGACACTCAGTAAAAGGATTGCGTGTGTTAACAGTGACTAAGCTAGTCTTGTTGGCATTGCGCACTGTGCTGGTCTGACTAGAGCTCGAGGTGCTTGTGCTTGTACTGCTTACAGCAGCCCTTTCGTTATGTTCAATGGGGACACCAACTGGTGGTCTAGCCTTATCATAAGGTCTACTTCTCCTTCTTCTACGTGTTTGGGCAGCATGAGAAGTCTCTGCTCTCTTAACTGTCTTTCTGTTGTCAGATAGATTTTCCATTCCAGAAGATGAAGTAGATGTTGATGCAATCCCACAATCATTAACAGGCTCATGTGCCTTAACTTTTTTCTGTTCATGATTTTCATTGACATCTGATTTTCTCTTAGATGGCACCCTGGTGATTGTAGTTTTAGAATCAGCAGGCTCCTGCAGACAAGAAAATAACGGGAAAATACACAAAAAGAGAACCAGGTCTTCCTGCTGCAGTACACCAGGGGGAATTCCATTGCTAATGATAGTGATTGGAGAAAGCACCATGAATGCTACATTAAATGTGATATAAGATATGGTAAGGGCACCAAGAGAGCTTCCAAACCATAACTGACCAAAAAACGACAGGAAATACCAGACAGTATTATGAAAAAATAAATATTATGAAGTAGTGACTAACCTCTAAAACGTAGCCCCCAGGCCGAGTCCATGTACTTTCGCCCGTCTTTACGTTGAAGTAGTAGAATTTTCCGGGTTTAGATCTGGACGATTTTAAAATCCATTCCTTTTCCGTTGTCAAACTACGTTTCTCACCACTCTCAGACATGTTTTTGGCGTTACGAAAGTCATGTAAGGTTATGAATATTTATAATCAGCAACTTTGCTGCAAAAACAAACAGGACACTATGAAAGGAGGAACAATCATAACTCGTCATTTGTGAAATAATCGATCAGCGACCAGATTTGATTGGCCAGGCAAAACAGCAAAGTCTAAGCAAGGTTTCTAACTTACTTGCTTTTGTAACAACAGACAACAACCTCAACAACCTTACATCATGTTAGTCCAGTTTGGCGTGCGTATATACAAGGCGCTGACTGCATGCAACGTTGCCATTTGGTGCGTCGTCTGCTAGGCCTCTCCAACTTTTTATATTATCTTTGAATGACTGAAAGAGATTCATGAATAACAGCTTACATCAGTGTAAGCACCAAACATTTTTGTCTGCCGGATTCGCCTTCATTTTGAGAATCAATTCTACTTTCGGAAAGGTTACGCTGGGAGGAGTATAGCGCCATCTACTGGAACCACATGGAACTTTGTGCGTGCAGTGCGCAGCCGTGCGCAGTGTCAGTGTGAGTGTTGTATGTGTGTGTGTTAGTGTGTTGTCAAAAGGACGGGGCGGCTGCCTGACGTGTTCAATTGGTTCTGGACGTCCTGGACTAAAGTGGGCCCGTCAACGTGTCCTTCCTCTCTTCTCCTCCCTGCGTTGGACTGCTCGCTGCTGCGTGCCTCGCCAGGCAATGCTGTGCTGGCCCTCTCTGTGCAATAGTTGAGAACAAGCAAAGCCCACTCTAGGCCGAGATGAGGTTATCGGCTTGTTGTCGGTGGTGGCTGGCTGGGCTGGCTGCCGTGCTCAGCCTGGGCTGCCAAGTGGTTTGGGCTGCTAATGTCGACCGGGCCAAGTCTATGACCGATGTCATCACTAGTCAAGGGCTCTACACGACCGCGGACAAGGTGGCCATCCTAAACGTGACCACGTTTGAGAGTACAGTCCTGGGGAAGGACGTTGCTTGGCTGGTGGAGTTTTACAATACGTGGTGTGGGCACTGCCAGCGGTATGCACCAATATGGAGAGAATTTGCTGCTGATGTCGCTGGTGAGTAGCTGCAATGACAGTGCGTCCTCATTAGACTTGTCGCTAATATTTGTGGCTTCTGAAGAAAAAAAAAGTTTTTAGTGCGCACAAATGCTATTTCTGTTGTCTCTCTCATAGCCCGCAGCACTTTTAGTGTCCCACTGCACATTGCAACTTATTTTCTGTCCCTCGTATCTTTGTTCACTTGTTTATTTGTATGTTCTAGGTTGGACCTCAGCAGTGCGTATTGGTGTTTTGGATTGTGTTGTAGAAGACAATACACCCATTTGCCGAGACTATGAGATCATGCACTATCCAACTGTCAGATTTTTTACCTCTCATCATCAGAAAGGAAATTATGGACAAGAAGTTGACAAGGGTAAAGATGCTCCTGAAATGCGCCACATACTAGCAGGATTACTTGAAAAAGAACAACTTGAAGGAAGAGGCAGTTCCTGGCCCAACATCACACCATACCGCAGTTCTGATCTGCACAATTTGTGGAAAGATTCCCCTGGCCAAGTCTTATATTCAATTTTAATATTCAAAGACAAGAAAAATGAAGTTGGTGCTGACTTAGTTTTGGACTTCAGTCGAATTCCAAGTGTGCAGCTTCGCACAGTTTCGCCTGAAAATGAAGCTCTTGCTAAACTTATGCAAGTAACAAGCCTTCCTTCGGTGGTTGTTGTTGAAAGAGGAAAAGATGTTGGAGAGGTACTTTACACTCAAGACACATCTCGTAATGGACTCAGCATTGCTATCCAAGCATTTTTAAAATCAAAGAATATTGAGTTGCCTGAAGTAGAATTTACTGAAGATGTAGTGAAGATGCCTGCTCCTGCTGCAGATGATAATCCTGATTTGGAGAGTCAAGTTAAGGAACTTGTATCCCACAAGGGAGACGTTGCTTTCCTAGCTGATTTAGAACATGCCTTACGGTTTTCTTTGAGGCATGAAGTGGGCTCTAGGAAGCATATGACTGGGCCTGTTCTAAATGCCCTGCGCAACTATCTTATTATTATAAAACGCCATTTCCCATTGTCAGTGTCGGGAAAAACACTTTTGAATTTGTTGACTGATCATGTGAACAGTGTAACGGAGCTCTCTGGTGAGGACTGGAGGAAACTTCTCACTGAAGAAGAGTCTAAATTAACTCTACCAGTATGGACTGAACGAAACGAATTTTTGGGTTGCCGTGGCAGTCAGCCTAACTATCGTGGCTATCCATGTAGTCTTTGGACAACATTTCATGTCCTAACGGTTGATGCACTTGTCTCCCCTGACAGTGGTAGACCAAGGGATGTACTTGAAGCAATCCTGGGCTATGTCACTCATTTCTTTGGTTGTGCTGAATGCTCTAAGCATTTTCAGGGAATGGCCTCTGAAACTATGTTCTCTGAGATAAATTCACATGAAAAAAGTGTCTTATGGCTATGGCAAGGTCACAACAAAGTGAATAAAAGACTTGCTGGGGATGCCACAGAAGATCCAGCATTTCCTAAGATTATATTTCCATCTGTCGACCGTTGCCCTGGATGTCGTGATAATGGAGAATGGGTGGAGCATGAAGTCCTCCAATATTTACAGTCAGTCTACAGCCATAATTCTCTTAGCCTTATTGGCGCTGCTGGAGCAGATGCCATGTCTAAACGAGAGGCACATCCCATTTCTTCAGGTTCTGAAATGAGTGCTCTCGACATGAGTCTGTACGTATTATTGTATCTTGCATCTGCTGCTATAATTGCTCTTGTTTGTCTAAAGTTTTTGTTGCCTCGTACTTATCACAAGAAAGTTTATGTACATGATATTTCTGGAAAGGTGTGACAGTTTCTTATGAGATTGTAAATAATGTCTAAGAACCTGTTCATGTTTTTGTTGGCATAACATACCATAATTAAGTGATATTTTGATACTTTCTTCTGGTTTATGTTAACACGATTTTGTTTCTCAGTCTGTCCATTAATGTCTTATTTTAAAGTATGTTGTATTCTTTCAATTTCATCTTGCTATTTATCTATTTCAATAGTCAATTACGTAGTACAGATTGGTCCATCCATATTTTGAACTTAAACTTAATATTACCAAATATTTCTATTGAATACTAATGGCTAAATTTAGATTTATTTTTGTACTTTCTATTCACTTTATTTGGGAGGTGGCAGTGCATGTATGCATTTGCTTTGGTTGCATTGTGTCTTTCATCACACTCCTACTTTTGCACTTTGACTTTTGCTGCTTGAATGACAATGGTTTTAATGTTATCTGGACTGGTTTAATACTTCCCTCGTTCCTAGTTATTCTGCATTCCAGAATGTGAACATTTTTAGTCAGTTTCACTGTAGTCAGTGGTTTCCTCATGTCTATGTGTTGTAATAGTTTAGGTTAAATATTTCTGTTTCTTTGTCTTCCATGTGATATTTGCAAGACTTATTGATGATCCTGTGCTGACCTTCTATTCATTTTCACTTTCAAATTCATTGATCATTTTGGTTTATTTTGGCAAATGTGTGTGGTAGGAAGTTTCTGACATCTAACTTATTTATCTCACTATTGGCATAGCATATCTCTCATAATATAATTGATAAGCCTCCTCTCATTCCTATGCAGGGTGTCCTGAAACTTATTCCTGATGGCCTGCACTTAATGAGTATACCAAAATGATACATATTGAACCCTCCCATATGCTAAAAGAACTGTGTGGTGATTGGCTATTCAACTAAATCACAGTATAATGAAGTTCTGGCTATTGTGGAACAAGTTTCAAGACCCCCTTAAAAATTTGGTGGAAAAGCTAGAGCAACTATTCAAGACATTGTAACTGGTACTTAATTTTCTGTATTGTTCATTTATGATTCTAACTACTTTTTAAAGAAGTCAGGATTGGGAAATTGTTGAATGAGCACCTATTTCTACTTAATTTTTAGAATCAACAGCTTACCTGAAGCTATGGACTTCTAATGACTGGTTTTATTTTGTGCAGACTGACATTACTTCTGGGAAGCTGGGCACTTATCCAAAAGTGATGAAGCTACGTCTTGTTTGCTCTGCGAAGTTATGGAGAGGCCTCACATCATTCTTTCTCTCCCTTTTATCGCTCTCTCTTCTCCAGCAACGCATCATTTTAATTTCTTTGGCCCAGTGACATTCTACCTTCTACATTTACACTTTGGTGAATATCTGAAGTATCAGGTGAGTAATCATATGACATCTGTGCTCAGTGCAAGTACAGATTGTCATGAATTTTGCCTTGAAGATATCATTACTTCCATGAATTTTATTCTTTCACAGTCACAATATTTGTGTAACAATATAGAATATATTTCCCATTTTTGGTGGTATTTTAAATGATTCTCTGTAACAGAAGGGTCATTTGCAGTTAGGATTTATAAAAACAACAAATTAACTTATAGTTTCACACTGTTTGTTTTTTAAATATGAGTCTAAGTTTGTTATCTTATTATTTTATTTTTAGTGTGATGTGTTACAGTTTATTAAAGAAGGTATGTCATATTTTAAAACAAACAAAGAAGTAGCTAGAAACCCTTCTTGTTTATATTTTTATAGATTAGACAGATTTTTGCCATGTGCTGTGAGTATCTTATAAACAATTCTGTGATGCAGTATAATGTGTGTGTAGTGCTAATTTGAAAGGTTTTGTCACAAAATATTTAGGTAAAGTTAAGATTTATATTAGTGTTGTGATTCTGAGTGGCAGTTTTTGTGTATTGTCAATAATTTTATAATTAATTTTTTGAGTCTGTCTGGAGGGTCTCTTCCTCTTACAAACAATATCTTATCTTTCAAATGTTTGCAATGTTCATTTGGCTCCTGGTTAAGTATTTACTTCTGATGGAACACCACAATGACTCATGTCTGTGTTGTAGTATTCATTAGACATTTAGAGTGTGCATTGCATTTATAATCGATTAGCAGCTCCAAAATTTTGTTTGTGAGCTTTGAAAGAAGTGAGACTATTGAGTATTTTAAGTTATATGGAAACTTCTTGGTTGTGACATCACATTAATTTTTATCATGTGTGTTCATTTGAAGTCAGACTTCAGACATGTTTCAAACTGTTCAAATACATTGATTGGTGCATCAAACTGTGTTCTTGTCTGTTCTTTTTTCAACTTTGGGCTCCTGATATGTGCTCCTCACAACACTCAACAAAGTTCCACATCTACTTAGGAAAACTGGTGGCATGTACTGTAGGAATATGGAAAAGTTTCCATTGTTCTTCACAAATTTGTCACTGCTCTCTGTGTAGGCACAAGTGAATGTGAGGAGAACTTTTCAGTAAATCTTTGGATGCGAGGGGTACCTCACTTCGTCTAGTCAGTGTACACCCCTGACTCCAGTCACTGCCTTGTTTCAGTCTAGTCACTGAAAAAGTCGGCAAAACCACGTTAATTTGTCCCAATTTTAGTATTTTTGCAACGCATTTCGTGATATTTTCAGTCTAGTCAAAGTGGAAATTGAGTATAGTCACCAGTCAGTGTACACCTGTTTTCGAAGTGAGGTACCCCTCGTTTGGATGTAAAGAATTGCAAATCAGTATAAAATGGGGTGCTTAATCAAATTTTCTGTGGTAATAGAATTTTATTGATTACCAAAATTAAGAGGATTGATTCAAAATTTGAATTTTACATTGGGATGTCCTTAAGGTTGAGCAGAGAAGCAGCAAAAAGGGGTAAGGCCTGATTACCTAGTCCTCAATCATGTGGGTGTTTTTTCTTCCTGGTTGTAATGCAGATGGCCACTGAATTACACCACCCATCAGACTCGTACAGTAACAACTTGATGAATATGGCTATGAACTTATCACAGATCAATCTGAAACATTAAGCGTGGGGTATGTAACAGGTCGTTATTAGTTCAATATAATTTATACAATACTCTGTACACATTTATTTTATTTGGATTCTCACCGAAAGAGGAATTCATGTCATCCTCTCTCTTTGGCATTGGCATTAATCTCTTCTCATGGCGTCTCCCCCTCCTCCTGTTCTTGTTTAACGTGTAATTGTTATGTTGGAAATGCTCCGTGCAGCATTTTGGCTTTGAAGCTCAAGCAAGCTCACAAACAGTGAGCATTGCTGAGCAGAGCATGTTCGAGAGCAGGGGGCTTCTTGCATTGGGTCCTTTGAAGTCTTCACTATCAGGCATGGAGGAGTAACACTTCATTCTTGATTGGAATCTTCTCCTCCAGATGACGCCAGCATCGACTCTAATTCTTTAATTTTATTTTGAGCATATTTAAGCTTCTGCTGTAACTGCCTGTTTTGATGTTGCATTTGCTTAAACTTGGATTTCACCAACCACAAAGACCTCTCTGCCCTTCTTTCAGTTTTAAAGTCGTTTAAAGTAAGTGCTCCTATGTGACACTTTTCCCTGTAGGGTGTGGGTCCACTGTAAAATTTCAAAAAGGATTGTAAATTTCAGCAACACAATGGAAAAATAGGAAGGCAAGTGAAATAATACAATATGCAACCTTTCATTGTAATCCACGTAGTCCAAGTACTCCATTGGTGCAGATCCTTCATTAAAATGTTGGAACAGACTACCAAGTTTGCCAGGCACATCAGTATCTTCCAAAGGGCTATCAAATGTACTTGATGCTTCAACATCTTCAAAAGGACTACCAAGTATGCCAGGTGCATTAGCATTCTCAACAGAGCTCTTCTTAAGACTGCAAGCAGATCCATTTTGTTTACTTTGATCTGGAGCCTCAAGCAAAGAAATATTTTTTTGGGAATGACTGCTGCCAACATCATAACTGCCAGAGTTCATTGGAGTGGGCTCCAAATTAGCTTCACTGTAAATGATAAGGGAAAATATTACATTGGAAAGATAAGGAAAGAGGTGATTCATAATCAAAGGTGTTTTACCTTTCATAGTGGTCTAAATACTCCATTGGTGCAAATCCTTCATCACCACATTCTGAAGCGCAAGGTCCTGGTTTGCTTTGATCCAAATTATCAAACAAAGCGAACTCCTCTTGGCAAGGGCTGATGCCACCGTTATTACTTCCAGAGAGATCAGGTAAAGGGGTCATACCACTTATGTCACTTATATCGTATTTACTTCTTCTATTTCTTTGCAAAGTGGTGTTATCTTGGAGTAGGTCTTTTTCCACAGTCTTATTACGTCCAGAGAGATTTGGTAAAGGAGTCATACCACTTATATCACTTATATCATATTTACTTCTTCTAGTTCTTTGCACAGAGGTGTCATCATGGAGTAGGTCCTTTTCCATGGTGTTATCATGGAGCAGGTCCTTTTCCATGGTGTAATTACTCCAAGAGAGATGTGGCAAAGGGGTCATACCACTTATATCACTTACATCGTATTTACTTCTTCTATTTCTTGCCGCGACAAATTTTCTCTGAAATTGCTCCAATGTCCCTGCTTTCCACCAACTTTCTATCAGTTCTTCACTTAGTGGGTTACCGAGTGCTTGATCAGGAACTGCGCCACCCATATAAAACTTCAGCCTATAAAGTTCATTACTGAAGTACTGCTCTCGAGAAAAGTGGAGTGAACACACACGGAACCTCTTATGCATTTCAGCCGCGGCAACGCCCAGAAGTATTTCATTTCCGCAGAGGCGAGTCCACGTCTTGCTCCTAGAATAAGAGGGAGAAGACAGGACACTGTTAGGGAAATTCCGAACACTATAAATCCAAACAATAATGACAAGACATTTGGTGTACAGTTACATATTTTCAGAAAGATGAACTAATACTCTGCAAAGTGAGAGCATCAACGTACTGCTTCGATAAAGAGACGTAAAAATGGAATGTCATAAATAGGAGAGGAGAGCTGAAGGCTATGTATAACTTTCCTGTCATAAAGTTAAGGTATGCGGATAAGGTGCAGGAAGCTCACTAACCTTTCTGCCTCCTTGGGGAAGTGATGGAAACGCTTGTGGTTAAGGGAAGTCGATTGACAACCCTTAACAGAGCATCGTCTTACACCATGCAACGACATAATTATGAGAAAGAAATAAACGAAGTTTAAATCAACCCATCAATAGACAGATACAACACTAATGTTGTTTACGTTGCCTTTCACCCTTTCCTGCACTTTCGATTCGAGTTTGAGATGACAGTCGACGGTCGGCGATAACCGGAAGTTTGGGAATTGTGCTGCATAGCGGGAAGTTTAAACCCGCCAAACTCAGTGTTAGTTGGGTTGCCTATCCCCAACGGCGCCTACCGCCATCACGTCTTCTCCTTTCTGAAGCACACTCCTATAATTCCAGTTTTTGGCTAGAAAAAAAGCATTTCACAGCCGAAATGGCCCCCGAAATAGTGCAGGAGTCTTGAGGGAGTGCTTCAGCACAACATAATCAAATTTGGGCCATTTTAAATGTTTTGTCCCAAACGCTAAAAAACCATGTAGAAGCTTTTTTTTCGGCGGAAATGGTCGACCACCTCCGATTTATCTGAAATTGATAGGGAACGTTGCTGTTGGCCTATGAATTCAGAGTGAAAATTACTTTTCCCATGACGCCCGTTAAGTGCTGGTGCGGTGAAGAGGCTGTAGACGATGGGTTGCCTACCTGTCAGGCGCATGCTCTAATAACTCCAGTTTTAAGCTTGACAAAAACCGCTTTGGGCCGAAATGGCCCTTGAAATAGTTTAAGGAGTAATAAGGGAGTGCTGCAGCAAAACATACTCCAATTTGGGCCTTTTAAAATTTTTGGCCTAAAATGTAAATTGTGATAAGACTGTTTCTCTTTTTGACAAGAATGGTCAACCACCTAAGAATTTTTTGAAACTCATCAGGGCTGTGGGCCTAAGAAATAAATGCCTGTGCCCAATGGCAGAGATTTTACTGTTTCTTATTAAATTTTTCCAATCGTTGCATTGTGTAAGAATCCTGCAGCTGAATGGGATCGATTTTGATGTTCTTATGAGGCAACAACTTTGTGGTTAAAACAGGGATGTTAAAATTGGATTGAAAGATAAATTCTTTTCATATAAATTCTTTATTACAGTAAAAATAGACCAGTACGGTGTTTCACACCAAAACAGTTATCGGTGTTGAGTCTTAACATATGAACAGAGTGGTGGGTCTTCATCATAAATTTCATGGTTATATAAATAAAGCTCTTCATGTTCTTTAAATTACATTCTGTCACTTTGTTCATATAGAAGACTGAAAAGTTAAAATTTCAACAATAGGTTTTTACTCTTTGAATATACAACTGAAATGTACAATTTCGGTAGGTAATTTTAAGGACCAACTTTTACCCTGACTACAAATGGCACTCATAAAAATAAAGTAATTTTAGTACCAATGCTGGAATTAAACTCAAAATTTTGAAAAGCGATTTTAATATTTCACAACACAACACAATCATTTGAAGCAAAAGTGTAAGTGCCATTCAGATACATAAAAAATTTAAAGCTGACATTGAAAACAAAAATCAATAACAATGACTTCAAAATTTCCACTCATAAAGTTTCATCTTTAGGGACACACTGGGATGTTGGTGACAATTAAACCTTAAGACTAATATCACAGACAAGACACTTAAATCACACTTGAATGAGCCAGTTATACACAGTTTTGATTCAATCCCATACAGTCAAGTGTACATATGTATTTGGTATATCCAAAGAACTATCCTTTGCTTTGTTACGGCTTTGCAACAATAATCCCAGAATTTGATTCTTGAGTATAGTACAAAAGCAAAGAACATTTCTTTGTAATGGGTATGCATACAACTTCTCACATTCAAATGTTCTAAGTTTGTTAACATTCATATAAATTTTAAGACTCTTTTCAGATAAAATTTCATTTACATAATTTACATTCAACATAGTACATATTTCACATAAAAACACTCTGCTGCCCTAAAGATCCATACAGCCATAAAATGCATGCAAGACAAATTTGTTAAAGCATGATTCTATACATGAGCAGGATTCATTAATCTCATAGAATTAAAACCGTTGTACCTCAGTCACAATATGGCAAATAGGTCTAGGAAAATTCTAGTACAAACAAAATTCATTTGTGTAAATGAGTACGTAATTTTTGTTATGTGCAATAGATTATGATTAATTTTGATGCCAGAGATATAACATGGCACAGTAAAATTTATGATAAAGACACAAATTTCATAGTCATAAATATGCATAATAGAGAGAAAGTACGTTAGAGATCAGATCACAAAGAGTTAGGCAATGAGTATAACAATGTGACAAGTTCAATACAATTTGTTATGTAGTATGCTGATTGCATGACAATTGAGCATACATTTGACCTAAGAAAACTTCTAAAGTTTTTTTTTTTTTGGCAGGTCAGACTTGCATGTTGGTAAGTTTAAAAATTAATGATGCAAAGCAAGCTGTGACTAATTGGTAGAAGTGCTCTTTTCTACACAACATTATTGGCCAAATGGGATGAACAATTCACGATCTGGAACTGACTATGATAAATGGCTGATGGTACAAAGGCGGCCAGCAGTTAAAAAAGTCTAAAGCACTGTGATCTCAATTTTTTCATAAATAAGATATGAAACAGATATAGTACAAGTTTGAAATCACATTGAGCATCACAGGGAAACATAAAACTATCAGTAAAAGTTTCATCACACTTGGATACGAAACTGTGTCTCTGTTAGACTGACCAAGCTTTGTCAGCCCACAAGAGGGGAAAAAAAGAGAAGAGGAGTGAGCACGGGGGAGAGGGTGAAAAGGGGAGAGGGGGGGGGGAAGGCGCGACGGCGCTATGGCACTCAGTGCTGATTGTATTGACAATCAGAACCACGAGAAACAAAGGAATCGGGAGAAAACGTGGGAGAGTGGGAAAAAGAGTGAGGTAGGAAAGCTGTGCTCATCCGAAAGAGGAAAGATTTAAAAAATAACAATTGCAGTTTAACGCAAGACACGAACACGACAATGACAACAAAGAACAACAACAAATAAATGAGTGAGACCTAAAACGGGGCGGGGTGGCGCTAGACGCTCATCTCAGAACGAGTCCTTCTCACACACACCACACCACATTATTGTCACACTGTGGTCTCGTTTCTTCTAAGGGGTTTCAGGGGTTGCAGCTCCCTCTGAAGGCGGTCCAGGTCATTGTAGTATTCGTGGTCTGACTCTTCTTCCGAGGACCGCGGCGCGTGGCCCAGGAACACCTGGCCGCCGACGCCCGCGACACCGTTACCCGCGGCGGACGCGACGCCGCCCACGGGCACTGAGGACCCTGAGGACCCCGAGGGTCCCGCCGGCTCCGGTTGGGTGATGGGGATGCCCAGAGGTTGTGCCGACGACGGCGTCACCGGCGTGGTGGGTTCGTTGCTAACGAGGTGGTACTCGGGGTTGTCTACGCTCGTCGGCTTGTTGCCCGGCAGTTGCAGGAAGTCCGGGAACGTCCTAAAGCCACCGTTTCTGGCCTCGCCGTTTTCTGCAAGAAGGAGAGTGCGGTGAGTTGCATGTCATCGTCGGGGAAGTGCGGACCGAGTGCGGAGTGGGCGCAGATGGCGGCGCCGCGACTTACCTCCAGACATCTTGGACGGGTCCCCGATGAGGTCCATGTACGTGCCCTGACCTTGCGACGTCTGCGGCGACGGCATCAGGTAGTCGTCCTCGTCCAGCGGAAGGTCCAGCTTGAGCGAGCCGACCTGTGCCTCCCGTTTCGAAGCCCCCGTGTCGCAGCAGTCCTCCTCCATGGCACTGCCGGCGTTTTCTGTGAAAGGAATCAGGTGGCCGTTAGCGTCATGAAATGAGCGGCGTGCTGGTTCCCGTGTCCCAGTGCCGTTCTGGTGCTTACCTCTTTGCTTGAGCTGCTCGGCGCCGTAGGCGGCCAGCGCCTCCTGGAGTCCCTGCGCGAAGTGCATCCTCCTCTGCATGTCGGGGTGGCCGGCGTAGCCCTGCTGCTGTTGCTGGCGAGCCACCAGGGCCGCCGCCGTGGCCAGCTGGTGACCAGACATGCCCGCCGCGTACCTCAGCAGCTCCCAGTTCCTCTGGTTCTGCGGCGTCGGCGAGTCGGAAGACAGCTGCGCGATGGGGTTGACGCCGCCGGGCCAGCCCTTGGCGCTCGGTGTCCGCGGCGGACTGTTGGACGACGTGGACGTGGTGGTGGTCGTCGTGGTGATGGAGGTAGGACCTCCGGGCACCAGCGGACCCAGCACTGGTACGGGCCCCCGCGACTTGGGCGTCAGGTACTCGTCGGCGTCCACCAGGGCCTCGGGCCCCTCGATGCCCGACGACAGCGACCGGATCATGTCGTCCTTGGCCTCGCTGGACGAGTAGTTCGGTAGGCGCATGAGGTGGTCCCTCTGGATGACCAGGTACCGGCCCGGGTCACGCGCCATCTTGGAGAACTCGTCGGACAGCTCCTTGAAGCTGGGCCGCGTCTCCGCGTCCAGCATCCAGCACTTGATCATCATCATGTACACGTCGATGGTGCAGATGAGGGGCTGGCACAGGCGCTCGCCCTTCTCGAGCAGCTCGGGCACGTCCCTCGCCGGCACGTTCTCGTAGGGCCGGCCGCCGTAGGTCAGCAGCTCCCAGATGGTGACGCCGAACGCCCACACGTCGCTCTTGTGCGTGAACACTCGGTGCTGGATGCACTCGAGCGCCAGCCACTTGATGGGCATCTTGCCGCCCGCCGCCTTGTACTCGTCCTCGTTGATGTCGAGCAGCTTGGCCAGGCCGAAGTCGGTGATCTTGACGCACTGCGGCGTCTGCACCAGCACGTTGCGCGCCGCCAGGTCCCGGTGCACCAGACGCCGCTCCTCCAAGTAGGCCATGCCGCGGGCGATCTGCGTGCACCAGTTGAGCAGCGCCTTGGAGCCGATGCGGTCCCGGTGCGCGCGCACGTAGTCCAGCAGGCAGCCCAGCGGCATGAGCTGCGTGACCAGCATCATCTGGGACGTCATGCACACCGCCAGCAGCTGCAGCAGGTTGGGGTGCTCCACGCTGGCCATGATGTACGCCTCCTCCAGGAAGTCCTTGTTGCTGCTGGCGCCGGTGCCCTCGCGGAGCACCTTGATGGCCACGGGGATCTTGATGTTCTCGCCTTCGGGCACCCACACGCCCTTGTACACGGTGCCGAACGCGCCGTAGCCCAGCACGCCGCCCTTGCGCATCTCGGCCTCCTTGATGATGCGCAGCTTGGCCAGGTTGGGCTTGGCGCCGGGCCGCAGCGGCTCGTTGTCGTCCAGCCCCGTCAGCACCATCGTCATCTTGACGGCGTTCTCCTTGGCCTTGGCGCGCTTGCGCACGTAGAACAGCGCCGAGCCCACGACCACCACGGCCATCAGGAAGATGAAGACGAGCGAGCCCACCAGGATGTGCAGCGACGGGTTCTCGGAGAGCTCCACGCTGGGCAGGCCCACGGGCTCGGACGAGCAGTAGGGTCCGCGGTTGTCCTGGGGGAAGATCTTGTGCGGCATCTCGGACGGGCAGGTGGCGGTGCAGTTGAAGGTGGTGGTGTTGTCGCCGGGCTGGCCGCCGCCGCGGTAGATCTTGTAGTTGCGGCAGTTGAAGCAGTCGGAGGCCTGGGGCCCGCGGCAGCCGCGGCACTCGGGGTGGCACGGAACGCACTCCTGCGACCCGTTGACGGCGAAGTGGTCCTGCAGGCACTCGTCCTCGCACTGCTCGCCGCGCTTGAACTTGGTGCACTCCTGGCACACCTGCTCGTGGAAGCCGTAGCCCGTGCACTTCTTGCAGCGCGGGTGGCACTTGCGGCAGATGGCCTTGCCGGCCAGCGGCTTGAGCGGGCCCTGCTCCTGCGGCCCGACCCACTCGTAGTAGTAGCCGTCCGGGCAGGACTCGTTCTTCTGCAGGCAGCGCTCCACCGTCACGTCGCCGTTGATGATGGCCTTCTCGCAGGACGTGCACCCCGTGGGCCCGATGGTGTTCTCCGGGCCGCTGCAGCCGTACACGCAGTTGGCGTGGCACGGCTTGCACTCGCCGTCCTCGGCGTACTTGCTGGTGGGGCAGGTGCCCGTGCAGAAGGGGCCGTCGCGGACGTTGCGGCAGCGCGTGCAGTTGCCCGGCCCGGGCCCGCGGCACGTCGAGTCGCACTCCTCGTGGCACTGCTTGCACAGCCCCATGCTGGCGCGGTACATGCCGCCGATGGTGTCGCAGTCCGGCAGGCAGCGGTCCTGGAACTGGAACTTGGCGCACGACAGGCAGTTGGTGGGGCCGGGGCCCCAGCACCCTTCCGTCGAGCACTGCTTGTCGCACACCAGGCCGTCCGCGATGCACTCCTCCTCCTTCTTGTTGTTCTGCAGCAGCGTGTTGTGCTCGTGGGACTTCTTGATGCGCTTCCAGTCCACGCCCTGCGCGAAGCACAGGTTCTTGTTCTCCAGGATGGCGATGGAGCCCGAGTGCACCTTCTGCAGCGACCGCAGCCCCAGGGAGCGCAGCGACGTCTTGACGATGTACAGCGAGGCGAAGTACTCGGTGAGCGCTCGGCCCCCGATCACCTCCAGGTTGCGGAAGTACGACAGGTTGGTGAAGTCCTCGTGGTATCCTTGAATGTTGACGTAGCCCGTCACCTCCTTGAGCGTGCTGAACACCTCGAGCCTGTCCGGGTGCATCATGGGGTAGTGCGGGCCGAAGCTGTAGTTGGAGTACACCATCTGGAAGCCCTTGAACGACTGGTCCAGGATGGTCAGCGAGCCCTCGATGATGGTGCAGCCCTGGAAGGAGTCGATGTTGCCGGCGTGCACGGTCTGCACTCCCTCGCACGTCTTGGGGCACGGACCTCCGCACGGCACGCACTCGCCGTTCACGGCCTGCAACAGGATCAGAGAGAACGTCAGCACGGCTGGAGAGAGAGCCAAGTGGCGATACCCCACGCGTGGTCGGCGCGCCGCGGAGTATCTCCGTCCGGCCGGGCGTCGACGCCGCAGCCCGCAGCCACAGGGTATGTAACACCGGACGGACGGCGTCCCGTCCCGCGCGTCCCGCAGCGTACCGCAGCGTACCGGGCCGAACCTAACCGGCCGCGGCCCTTTCTCCTCATCTCGACGCGGAGCTACGCGGAGCAACGCGGCGCGGACCGACGTGAGGCGAGCCTTCCGTTCCAAGTCCAAGCCAGTCAGGCAGGCAGCCAGGCCACGACGCCACGACGCCGTGGCGCTGCACCCGCCTCGGCCTGGCTGCCTGCCTGGCAGCACCGCGATTCAATCCGATATGCGCCGCGCCATGATGCAAAAACATGTTAATTCTTTTTTTGCGGGCTAAAGTCGCGCGCGGCGGCCGCGTCGCCGTGCTTCCTTCGGCCAGGCGTCGCGGCGCGTCGCGGCGTCGCGTGAGGGGGGCGTCCCGAGGCCCCGCGGCCTTCTGGCCTTCTGGAGAGGAATGCAGCCGCTCCTCTAACTGGGTACAGTAGAGGCGGCCGGGCCGGCCAGTTTTGACTAACAGTGCCCGCTGCCGCGGACGCCGCGGACGCCCTGACGCGCCGCGGACGCTGCCGGCCGGCCGGACAGTGAGGAGGAGCAGGGCGTGGCGGGGCGTGGCGGCCGGGGCCGCGCCGGGATGGCGTCACCACTACCAATAACTAGTTGACGAGCGCCGTCCATACAAGTCCAGGCCGTCCAGGCCGAGAGCGAGGACGGCGTCGAAGAGATACGCACCTTCTTGGACGGCGGGCAGCTCCGCACGCAGGCGCCTTGGTCCTTGAGGAGATGCTCCGGGCAGTTCTTGACGCAGGTCGCGCCGTAGGCGTACTTGCCGTTGGGGTTCGTCTCCCACGAGTACTTGACCGGGTTGTACATTTGCATGGCGGGGCACTCCTGGGTGCAGACGCCGTCGTCGTAGAAGTTCCGGCACGCCTGCGGGGAAAAGAAAAGGAGGGCAAAGTGAGAACCCTGCGCAACGCAGCCCAGCGCCGCAGCGCGGAGAGTTGGAGGAATTTCGGAGGGCGTGAACCGTCCTCGCGCCACGCCGTTCGGCTCCTCGCCTCGGCTTCGGCTCGCTTCGGCTTGCTCGCTTCGGCTCCGGCCGAGGAGGCACTCGTGGGTACCGGCCGTACCGGCGGGTACTCAACTCACCAGACAATCGCTCTGCTTGGGGCCGGTGCAGCCTCCGGCACAGAAGAGGTGGCAACACTGCCGCGGCTCCGGTCCAAAGCAGCGGCCCTGCCAGCACTGCGGGCTGCAGTTGGTCTTGGAAAACTGCTGGCAGTTCTCCACGCCCTGGATCGAGGAAAGAGGAAATGGTTACTTTCGGCAACGGACCGCCGTTTCTCTCACACGTGCAAACGGTTCTAAGGCAAGATCGAAAGCAAAGGCAAGGATTCTGTCGCTGACGCTGCTGACGCTCACCTCTCCCCAACATCCGGCGGTACAGTTGGCGTGGCAGACGGGGCACTCTCGCTCCGGCGACGTGAAGTTGTACACGTAGGTGTACTTGGCGTTGTGTCCCGTGATAATCTCATCCCAGTTGATGGTCCGAATGTGGCACAAGTTGTAGTTGTTGAACATGCCCACGCTGCCGCTTAGAATATCTGCAAGGAGAAGCAGACAATGCCGTTGGCGTCCCTCGGTCCCACTCGCGGTCGCCACCATCGCACCGAGAATCCAAACGTCGATCGCTGGAATGCGTTTTAGCCCGTTTTCATCGCACCAATTAGAGGGCATCATCGCACCGCACACTGGTAAAACTTGTAACGACGTTGTAGGCCTCATTCATGCGGAGATGCCGCACTTCAAGGCGAATTCCCCCACGCATTGAGATACGAAAACAGGGGCTCGTGAGCTCCTGTACGCTTCAAGAAAGGGGGGCGTACGAACTGTACTGAAAGGCTCAAGTTTTACCAGTGCACGCTCGACGTCCAGGACGTTTGGATTGACAGTGCGAGGCGCTTGGCGCCGGTCGGGTAGGCCACCCCTCGGGCCTGGCGGCCTGGCGCGGCCACTCACCTCGCAGCGCCGGCATCTCCAGCGTGTGCATCTTGGACAGCGTCACGAACAGCGCGAACTCCTCCTCGTTGATGTTGACCTTGAAGGTGGTCCGGCCGCGGATGATCTGCAGGCGGGGCAGCACGATGCGCCGCACGTCCACGTGCGAGATGAGCACGTAGCCGGTCACCTCGCGGATGTACTGCAGGAAGCTCAGGTCGAAGCTCTCGTCCTGGAGCCAGGTCAGCTCCAGGTTGCCGTCCACGTAGGTGCAGTTGGTGTACCGGTCGCGCAGGTTGCGGTAGTGGTGCTCGCGGTTCGACGGCACCGACATGCGCCCGTTCGTGCCGATGCATACTGCAACAAACAAGACACGGGCAGGGTTAGCCGGGTGCAGCTGGCTCCGGGAAGAGGGACGAAACGACGAGCAGAGTGTACTGTAGTGCGCACAACGCGCCGCCTTTTCAAGGGGACTGTACACAAAGTACGAGTGGGTGGGTACGGCCAGCTCCCAAACACGAAAGAAGGAAAAACGGCAGTGCTCCTGGTGCGCGCTTTTATCGCGCGCGAACACCAGCACACCAATGCGCGAACACACGCACGCACACACACACACACACACACACACACACACACACACACACACACACACACACACACACACACACACACACACACGTTGCGACTTGCGACGTGATAAGCGGCCCGCGTCACCGCCACGCTAGCCTTCCCAGCTGCCACACACGACTGCGCGGTCTCGCGGGGCGTGGTGGGGCGGGGCGTGGCGGGGCGTGGCGGCGTGCGCGCGATGCTGCCGCCGTGCCGCACGCACCGAGACGCGCACGCGCGTGCGCGGCATCGCCGTGGCATCGCGAAAAACACGGCGCGTCGGGCACGCAATGCAGAACGCCCCATGCCGTGCGGCGCGGCGCGTCGCGGCGCGGCGGACTGATCACGATCTCTCTCTCTCGCCCTTGTATAGACGACCCATGAGTGCGAGGGAGACAGAGCGACGAAAGCGACTCTCGGAATCAGTCTGCAGGGACGCGGAGTCGTGAGCACGAGTTGCCGCTCGGCGCGGCGCGGTGCATTGAACCGTGCTCGGTTCGGTTCACAGTGCACGCACGGCGCACGCGTCGCGGCCCTGCGCGTCGTCGCGGCACCGCGGCACCCGCACGGACGGCCGAGCGGCCAAGGCGGTCCTCGTCCCAGGGCGTCCTCAACTGGAACGCCGGCGGTCGAGACGCCGAGACCTCCGAGGCCTGCTGCGCCACAGCGCCAGTGCGCCGCTGCGACGCCACAGCCAGCCAAAGAGTCGAGAGACGTCGAGAGCGCATAGCTTATCTCCGGGCTCCTATTCAGCGTGCGCAGCGCGCAGCGCTCACACTGAGGACTATGTGGCCCGAGGGTTGCTGCTCGAGTTGGGTTTCAGATTCAGACCCTTTGCCCTTGATAAGCCCCCCAGCCCTCGCTCGGAATGCCCTTGGCAGGGCCTTGGCAGGGCCTTGGCAGGGGGTACACCCGGCACAGCTAGCAGCGCATACCCGCAGACAGCCTGTAATCGATAAGATAAGTGTGGGCAGGACTCCGTCGTCGTCCAAAGACTCCAAGGACTCGCTGCCAGAAGCGGAAAAATGACCTTTGTTCAGTTTGTATTTTTTTTCGGTGCGCGTGGCCGCGTGGGGCCGTGGGGCCGCGGGGGCGTCGTCGCGCGACACGGCGGCGATTGCGGGCCGCGGTACATTCGGGCCTCCGATCTAATTGCCTGCAACACACGCACACACACATGCACACAGGCACACGCACACACACACACACACACACACACACACACACACACAGACACACACACACGGCGACAAACAGTGGGTCGTGTCGTCTGTCCCGCCCGCGCGGCGACTCACGTGATAACGACTCACTCAAATAACAAGTAGCCCCTCGCCCCCCACTCCCCCCGCCCCCTCTGGACAGGTTCCACAGCCCCCTCCCCCCCTCCCCCGCGCACCGCCGCGTCGTCGCGGCCAGGTGATAACCTTTGGCGTTGAAAGCGCAAGGCACCGGCGACAATGTCACCCAGACGATTGCAACACGACGGGGCGGGGAGAAAAAGAGAGAAGGAAAAATGAAAACACGGGAGCGAAAAATCAACGGCGCGGCGTTTGAACCCGGGGCCGCGACAACGCAGAGGCGGCCAAATGCAGGCCCGTTGGCCTCGCAGTGGTGTGGCCGGGGGGGGGGGGGGGGGGGGGAAGGTGATATAACCCGCCAGGCTAGCCAGCCGCCACTTCATTCTGAACCCATCCTTCTACACATTCCTTTCTTCCAGCCTCAATCACGAATCGAATCCCACGTCTGATTGCAGGTGCGGGGCGGTGCGGGGCCTCCCCCCCCTCCTCTGTTCTAGCCAGCCTCCTCCTCCTTCTCATCCTCCCTCTCTGTCCCCTCCACACGTGGCGGGCCGCGCACTGCCGCCGTCTCCGTCGCACTCCCTTTGGCCGCCTTTGGCCCTCGTCGCGTTCCTCTCCCACTTAGGCGTGATGGACGCCCTCTCACTTCGTTATGAAAAATTGACAACAACACCCCGCGTGGCCGGCGTGGCCGCGCCGTCCCCTCGGGCCGAAAGAAACAAGTACACCCGTACTGCGTGCACTGTGCACTGGAAAAGGAAACGCCGGAGCAAAGAAACTGGCCGACACTCCAGGCGAACGCGCGGCGTGCTGAGGACCAAGGACGAATATTGGAGGATCTCCGTCTGCACCGCGCGTGCAGGTCTCCGGCCGTGACGCCAAGCTCCCAGTGTACATGCCTCGCTGCTTCACGGACGGCCCCTCGGCGGCCCTCCGCTGGGGCCCAGCGGCCCTGCGGCCACTGCGGACGGGGAAGGAAGAGAGAGAGAGAGAGAGAGAGAGAGAGAGAGAGAGAGAGAGAGAGAGAGAGAAGAGAAGAAGAGAGGAGAGACTCCTAGCACGCCCCGCACGCCCCTCCAGGCCTCCACACGTTCGGTGTGATCCGCTCCCCGCCGCGCGCCGCCACGCCACGCCACGCCACGCCGCGTCGGTCCTGATTTCCCTTGATTCCATGTTTTATTCCAGCCGGCCATTGCCAATGAGGTCGGCCGGGGCCTCAAATCAGTAATTCCCCCGTCGCCTCTCGCCTCGACGCGCGTCAGTGTGTGTCGTGTGTGTTGTGTGTGTGTGTGTGTGTGTGTGTGTATCGGACCACGTACACTTTCTCGTGCATATCATTACAATTTTTATCACCATTATCGCCATGGTGCCGGCATTGCACCACCACCACCACCACCACCGCCAGCACATCGGGGCGGTGGCGAGTACAGTCGCGGACAGTGGGACAAGCGGGACAACGCACGCCAGTGCCAAGTATGACGTCACGGCGGTCAAGTGCGCGGCGCGCGGCGGGGCAGACGCGTCGTCGTCGCGGTGCGAGTGCGCGGGTCGTCCGGCATGCCCTGCAAGAGGCCGAGGAACGAGACGAGCAGCGCACCGACGCCGGAGAAATGCCAAGCCGGCCACAATTTCTATCATCTCGGCATTTTTTCCGGACAGACAGACAGACGGACAGTCAGGCGGGCGGGCGGACAGACGGGCACGCACACTTGGCCGGGCATCAGGCAGCCGCTGCTGCCGCTGCTGCTCATGCAGGCTGCTGGAGCCAACGCGCTGCTGCCGGCCGCTCTGTCTCTCTCGCACTCCAGGGGCGTCCCGTCGGGCCCGTCGGGGTGCGAGAGAGACAGAGCGACGAGGCGATGCCTCCGGAATCGGGCGGCTGCTCCCATATGAGTTATGTCGCTGGGAGCTTGGAGCGCTGCAGCGCTGCTGCGAGCACGGGGAGGTATCAGATGGACCTAACTCGACTCAGTGGGGAGGGGGGCAGGAACGCAGCCTATGGTAGTAATTATGGCAACGTTCTTCGAACTGCCTCCGCTGGTTTGGCCGCCGCGCCCTGCTGCTGCTGCTTTGTCATTATGTTATTACGCGACATGTAAACGTTCGGAATGACACCAGCACGGCCGGCACGGCCTGCATCGTGTGCACGAGGAGCTGCAGCAAGGCGGGTGTCACGCGCACCCGGGGGAAGGAGGCCCGGCCACGCGCCGCGCGCTGGCGGCCGAGGCGGGTCGCGTCGTCGCGCTCGGCTACGCAGTGCTGCGCGCTGCGCGCCAGAGTCCTACAAGAAGGCCCCGGAGTAACGGCCGCGGGCCGCAGGGCTCCGGGACCGGCTGGACGGGTTGCCGCGCTCGCCACGGCCCGGGCCGCGCCTGGCCGTGCCTGGCCGTACCTCGATGACGCCGCGATACCACACCACTGTACCACGGCACGCCGGCACGGCCGTACGACCGCCTCGCCGAGGCCCTCGCCGACGATGCGCCGTAAAAGAGCGCACTTGAGATTAGCCATCACGCGGGGCTGGCGGCCAGGCCGGCGGATGAGAAGTTTGAAATCAAGGTTGGTTATTTGGATCGCGCAGGGCGGCCGGTGCGTCGGCGCGGCCCTTTCAGATCACTATCACGCCCCCCCCCCCCTTTCCCCTCCCCTAACGCCTTATCTCCCCTTTTCACCCATTTATACCGCCATAGATGACAATTCGGAACTAGCGCGATGCTTATCTCGCGCGGAAACACGACGGAAATAAACACGACGTTTTCGAATTTTCCAGGAAAAGCGCTGCGGTCCGCCATTCGTTCGAACAGAAAACCCATAAACCGGAGCGGGTTGTTGGCCGCGACGCGACAGTCAGGCCGGCAGACAGACAGGCAGACAGTCAAGCAGACAGGCAGACAGTCAAGCAGACAGGCAGACAGTCAAGCAGACAGGCAGACAGTCAAGCAGACAGGCAGACAGTCAAGCAGACAGGCAGACAGTCAAGCAGACAGGCAGACAGTCAAGCAGACAGGCAGACAGTCAAGCAGACAGGCAGACAGTCAAGCAGACAGGCAGACAGTCAAGCAGACAGTCAAGCAGACAGGCAGACAGTCAAGCAGACAGGCAGACAGTCAAGCAGACAGGCAGACAGTCAAGCAGACAGGCGCGGCCCCACAAAATTCGGCAGTTTCCCCGCGACGCCGCGACGCGTCTCCATTATTTTGGCCGCCGTCATAATCCCTCTTTTTGCGCCTCCTCGCTGCGGAGCTGCGAGGGCCTCCAGTCCGCGAGTCCGCGAGGATTAGTAAACTGGTTGTGTATGTTGCGGGCCGAAGAGGAAAGGGGAAAGAGAGGCCCCCGCCGGTGACAAGTCGAATAATTCTGTGGATTCGCCGGGCGAGCGGCCGAGCGACAGTGGCACGGCGCGACCACCATCCTCGCCCCTTCGAGCTTCGCGCTCCGCAACCCAATCCGGGATCAGATCCCGAGAATGCCCGACGGGATTAAGACGGGGTTAGAGCATTTCATCCTGAGGGACACACACACACACACACACACACACACACACACACACACACACAGAGCGGGAATAAGGACAAATAATGTGCTGCGGCCTGGCGGCCTGGCGGTGCTGGCGGCCTGCGGGATCCAATGATCCAATGGCCAGATTGGAGTGCGGCTCGCTTACACTGCCGAGCCGATGGAGCAGAATTTAATAAGGACAGGTCCTTACAGTGACCCCTTTCGATTTCCGCGGTTGATGGCTTGGCAGATTGCTTACCTAAGTAGATGTCCAAAAATAAAATATTAGGTCGCTCGAAGTCTTCTTGGCTGAGTAATAGCTTACTTTCGTTTTATTTTTTTAAAAAGCTGGGTATTTTGGGTATTTTTTATATGAGACGTAATTTTTGAGCCAGGTGGCTGAAAATTGACTTCCTTATGCAAAATTAAATAAGGAACACGTTGGTGCCCTCAGAATTGATCTACGACCAATACTTTCGGAGATATCGGCCTTCAAAGTTGAAAAAAAGGGCCAAAATGTAGAAAAATACCCAAATCTTGGGATTTCGGCAACTATTGGACCTATTGGCACGATTCAACGCTCATTTTATAGAAAAAAAGTCAAGGAATCCAATGAGCACACGCGCAGGTCTGTGGGACTAACCGTTCAGGAGATGCGCGGCTCTAAAGGTAGCCATTTTTCAAAAGGTGCCGAAAATGCTGTTTTTGCACCTGCTCAGAGTGTTGAGCTTTCAGTGACACGTATCCTGCCTACGCGAAGAACTCGGCTCAGGGAAAGGCGATACTTTGGCGAAACGGAGCCCACTGGCAGATTAGAGAAGAGGCGGGGCTGCCTGAGGTGCTTAGAAAGAAACACCCGCTGAGGGCGCCGTGGAGGTAGGCAACCCACCATCCATGCAGAGCATTTCCCTTGGCGGGGAAGAGGCGGTGGACTCGGGGATGCGGTGACCCGTGTGGGTGTGAGAGAGACAGAGCGACGAAAACAACTTGGAATCAGTCTACTGGTTCAGTGCAGGCGCAACTTAGCCGCCTGATCTGGAGGCGCCGTGAAGGTAGGCAACCCAAGTCACCCCTCTCTTCACTACTCCTGTCAGACGAGCCGAGCCGAAGTTGGGCCGAGTCGGGCGAGCCACGAGTGCAGCGTTGCACAGCTGAGCCGAGCCGAGCCCAGCCCTGCGATGGTTTTCCCTCCCTCTGCCCGCAACCCCATCCACACGTGTTGTTGTTTAGGCGACGCCGGTGTGTTGTTGACAGCGTCTTCGTGTTTTGGCCTGAGTGTGGTTGATTTCAAGTGTGGTTTTTGGTTCGAGAAAATGGAATTGTTAGGTGTGTCCATTTTACAAATCAGGCCCTGTTATGTCCTTTTCTTTCAAACCTGTGTTTCCTAACCTCAAATCATCCTTGCAGAGCCAGACCATCCAGACCCTGATACAGATCATATATATTGCTGTGACCCCTTCAAACGGCACAAAAGGCTCATTACCAAATGTGTTAGGTTGATCACATCAGTTGACCCAACAGCACATCCCGAGCTCAGTGTCGGTTTGTACATTTGTGACAACTGTCGCAAAGGATTTCCAGGTAACGGACTCTCTCATTTTTAAGATTAAACTCTTCACAACAATTTATTATTATTTCACACGAAATTCTATTTTTTCTTTAGATATAGGTACTACTTCTGTTCAATGGCCTCAGCCTGAAGGTGGGCCTATATGTTCTGATCCATTTCAAAAACATTTAAAACCAATTTTCAAAAATTTGAGAATTATCACTGCAACTGACGGAAGTGATAACCCAAGTCTCACCGTTGGATCTTATTTATGTGACAACTGTCGAAAGTGTTTGCCAAGTAAGGAATTTTTTTGGGTTGACCCAAATGACTTTTCATTTGATTATTTTGTATAAATGTTTACTTCCTCCTCTCAGGCTTGGGCACATGCACCATTAAAAATGCAAATAAGTTGGCCAATGGTAAGGATATTACTTTAGCGAACCAATGCATAAACATTTGTCTTAAGATAAATATGAAAGTTGAAATGTTATTTGGTTTTGATTCCTTTAGAACCTGATCAGATATTCTGCTCCAACCCTCACCAAAAGCATAAGCTGCCAGTCAGTAAGAATTTAAGAGTAATCTCTGCATTTGATGTTCTACTTAATCCAAACCTTACTGCTGGCTCACATTGGTGTGACAACTGCCGAAAGGACACACAGCAACATGCTCATGGTATATTATATTAGCAGATCGTATGCCTCTAAAATTATTGCTTTGAAATTTTTTAACATTTGTTTACTTTTAGGTAAAGACTTAAGCTCTATCCAAGTTTCACAGCCCAGTCTACCTTCTGATACCAATCAAAGTTGTGATAAAAGTAGGTTTCCTATTTTCCACCTTACTTCATTATTATTTCTAGGAATTGTAAATTTTCATTCTCATTTTTTTCCTTTATTGTTTAAGACAAATGCTGCAATCCATTCAACATAGTACATGCAGTGAAAGTTACGGGTTCCAACACGGATTTGAGAGAAATAAAGGAAAATGATAAAAAAAATTGTCCAGCATTAACTGTAGGCATGCTATGGTGTAGTACCTGCCGCAAAATGTCTTCTGACCAGAAACCAGGAGGATCTGTTGATGGTTTAGAAAATGATGAAGGTAAAAATATATTTTGATAAACCTCATCATATCTCCTTCTGAAAAAAATAATTATTGTGTATATATTTTTTTTCCAGTTGTAGGATTGGCAGATATTTTTGCAGACATTGCTGATGAACTGTCTGGAAAGAAAAGTGAATCTAATAGTCAGAATGTTGTGGTGGTTGCGGTCAGCCAGGCCAGTGCCACATCATGTTCCCCTCGCTTAAGTCCCGCTGTTCACCAGGAATCTGCCCTTCGTACCTGTACAGGAATTGGCATATCGCCTTTGGATGTAACTAACATCAGAACAACGGGTGGGAAAATAGCTGCTGTCAAACGGAAGCTTGGACAAGCAACCAGCCTAGTTGCAAAGAAATTATGCAGCGCTGTAGGAATTACCACTGAAGAATTATCGGAAACATCAGAAGGAAGAAAACTAAAGGATTATGATGATTTATTGAATGAAGTCAAAGAAAGATTAACTACAGCTTCTAGATCTTTGAAATACAAGTTACTCTCTCTAGTCCCCAGTAGCATGTCTATCAATGGGGTGGCATCAACTTTTGAAGTTTCCAGAAATGTAGCAAGAAGAGCTCGGGAATTGAAAGCAGAAAAGGGCATTTTACCTGAAGTTGATTTCAGCAGAAAATCTGGCATCCTTGAATCCACTAAGTTGCTAGTACAGGAATTCTATTGCTCTGATGATAATTCAAAAGTTCTACCAGGTACTAGAGATTGTGTAAGTGTCAAGAAGGGAGTCTACGAACAAAAAAGACTTATACTTTGCAATATTGCGGAACTGTACAAATCCTTCAAAGAGAAACATGGAAACCTGAAGATTGGGCTCTCAATGTTTTATTTACTGAGGCCAAAATGGTGTATTTTTGCTGGTGGTGCAGGAACTCATGAGCAATGCATTTGCCAAACTCACCAAAATTTCAAATTGCTTCTTTATGCTCTCAACATTAAAATGGATTACAGAGATTTAATTAAGATGTGTGTTTGTGATTCTGAAGACAGGTCTTGCATGCTGAAACTCTGTGATAAATGTCCCACATCAGAAGAAGTGCAAAAAATATTGAGAGAGCAACTGACAGTCCCAGAGGAGCTCAATTCAGTTTCTGCAGACGAAGAATATGAATTTTTGGAAGAAAATATTAAGTTCCGACAATGGAAATCAACAGATAGAACTGAGATGATAATCCAAGTTTCTAAACGGTCTGAATTGATTGAATTAGCAGCAAGGAAGATGAATACTTTTATTCCTCACTGTTTTATAGCAAAAAGTCAAAAGGAGTACATCAAAAAACTTAAAGAAGAACTCCCAATGACCAAAGCTACCGTTGCAATGGATTTTGCAATGAATTACAACTGTTTGATTCAAGGGGCAGTGCAGTCTTATCACTGGTCCCCGAAACAAGCCACTGTGCATCCTACACTAATATCTTATAAAGATGCTAACAATGTGCTGGTCCAGAAATCTCTCATATTTATATCTGATGACTTGGACCACGATGTTCCATTGGTGAGAAAATTCCAGGAAAGAATAGCGACGTACATCAAAGAAAATTTGCCCCAAATTGAAGAGGTGGAATATATTACTGATGGATGTGGAAGCCAGTACAAATGCAAGGGGTACTTCAACCTTCTCTTAGATCATAAAGAGCGGCTGGGTCTCAGGGCTACTCATACGCACCATGGTTCTGGTCATGGAAAAACACGGTGTGATGCGGATGGAGGAACTGTTAAACGCACAGCAAGAACAGCCAGCCTGCAACGCCCCTTCGAGAACCAAATCGTCACAGCCAAGGACCTTTTTGATTTTTGCCAACAGGAAATGAAGGATACTTTTGATTTTCAATTTGTTTCAAAAGAAGAGGTAGAACCGTACAGACAACAATACAAAGGAATCGTGGATGGTTTAGAGACTGTCCCTGGCACCCGCTCTTTCCACTTTTTCAAACCTCTTGGTAAATATTTTTACTTAAACGTTGTCCTTTTTCTTCTTGGCACAGAGTATCGATGCATGTGCTAATTTTGTTTTTTGTTTTTTTCTTTTTGTGCAGGCAACAGGTTGGCTTGCTTCAGAATATCGAACGACAAAACCACATTCCCATCTCTTGTGCACTCTCTTCAGAAGACTGCCAGACAGGAGATTGAACCACTAGCTTTATCAAATGGCATCTATGTTGTGGCTAGAATAGGGAAAAATAGATACATAGGCCTGGTGACTGATTTATATTCTGAGGAAGGAGAAGCGGATCTTTCTCTTCTCATGCCAAGACTGCCATCCAAACAATTTAAATGGCCAAGAGACATGAAAACTGTGACGGTGCCTCTACCCCATATTCTGTGTCAAGTAGAACTTTTGGAGAAGGAAGAGGTAGTCACTCTCACAACTACAGATTTAGAGAAGTTATATGATCAAAGAATCCTCAAAAGGCCCCAAAACTAATGATTCTGTTTCGAAACTTTAAATTCGACTACTGTTAAATAAATTTATTTATTTATAAAACTGAATAATGTCAAGCAGAGTATCTTCTTATTTTGTAAGAGTGAATTAAAAGTTGATGGTTATTAACATCCAAACTATTCTAGAAAATGTATTTCATTTATTCCTCATTCTTTGAAAGGTTTGGAAATTTCTAGTGAGGGGGAGGGGAGGGGCGAGGGGTGACCGAGGAAGGGGTAAAGCCATACATAACCAGTAAGTCTCTCAGAAGGGTATGCCCGTGGTGGTTCGGCCCAGGCCGTGTACAGGTGACTTGGGTTGCCTACCTTCACGGCGCCTCCAGATCAGGCGGCTAAGTTGCGCCTGCACTGAACCAGTAGACTGATTCCAAGTTGTTTTCGTCGCTCTGTCTCTCTCACACCCACACGGGTCACCGCATCCCCGAGTCCACCGCCTCTTCCCCGCCAAGGGAAATGCTCTGCATGGATGGTGGGTTGCCTACCTCCACGGCGCCCTCAGCGGGTGTTTCTTTCTAAGCACCTCAGGCAGCCCCGCCTCTTCTCTAATCTGCCAGTGGGCTCCGTTTCGCCAAAGTATCGCCTTTCCCTGAGCCGAGTTCTTCGCGTAGGCAGGATACGTGTCACTGAAAGCTCAACACTCTGAGCAGGTGCAAAAACAGCATTTTCGGCACCTTTTGAAAAATGGCTACCTTTAGAGCCGCGCATCTCCTGAACGGTTAGTCCCACAGACCTGCGCGTGTGCTCATTGGATTCCTTGACTTTTTTTCTATAAAATGAGCGTTGAATCGTGCCAATAGGTCCAATAGTTGCCGAAATCCCAAGATTTGGGTATTTTTCTACATTTTTGGGCCCTTTTTTTTAACTTTGAAGGCCGATATCTCCGAAAGTATTGGTCGTAGATCAAATTTTGAGGGCACCAACGTGTTCCTTATTTAATTTTGCATAAGGAAGTCAATTTTCAGCCACCTGGCTCAAAAATTACGTCTCATATAAAAAATACCCAAAATACCCAGCTTTTTAAAAAAATAAAACGAAAGTAAGCTATTACTCAGCCAAGAAGACTTCGAGCGACCTAATATTTTATTTTTGGACATCTACTTAGGTAAGCAATCTGCCAAGCCATCAACCGCGGAAATCGAAAGGGGTCACTGTAAGGACCTGTCCTTATTAAATAAATCTGCTCATGACGACCGGCCATCGCGACATCGCGGACGCGTAGATGCCGGTCGGCGATCGGCCGAGTTATGCAAGGGAGGGAGGGAAGGAAGGGCTGGCGAAAAAGGGCTGCAGGTGCGCGGCGGCCTTGTTCGACACGCCGGGCCCTTTAATTGGTCGCCGACGGAGAAAGCAGCGGCACCGTCGCCTCGCTCTGTCTCGCTCGCACCCTTGCGCGACGCCCCGCCGCCCCGCGAAAGCGAGAGAGAGACAGAGCGACAACAGCACCGCGCCGCGCCGCGCGCATTGTCCGGCGGATTAGACGGAGTGGCGGCAAATTTAAATCGGCGCGCGAAATTGGCGGCGAGGCGGAGCACGGCGGAGCGGCGCAATCGGCGCTCTACATCTATCCATATGCCGCCCGGCAAGGCGCGGCGAGGCTCGCTCGCGGCGGCGCTCGGACAGCGCTTGGCCGCTCGGCCGATTCGAGCTTCGAAGGCATCCAGTTACCTTCGCGGTATTCCGGAATTCCTGCACGATTCGCTTGCCGAGCTTGGCGCGCTTCGCGCCGAGGCCGAGATCGGCCGCCGATCTGCACAAGAGCCCGCGCCGCGGCCAGCCCGAGGGGGAAGGGGAGGGGGGGGGGAGGGGTCATGCCTGAAACTCAAACCGGGGAGCCAAGGCGAGAGCCCAGCCGAGGGGCACTTTATCGAGGCAGAGCGTGATCGGGGGCCTGGAGAGTAGAGGGAGAGGGGCTGCAGGCGCGAAGGGCCCAAGCCGAGGACCGGCCTGACAGCCTAAATCACCTCCGCGCCGCGCTGGTGCCGCGCCCCGCGCCCCGCACTCGCTTCGACGTCTCGGACGTACCGTACGTACTCCCCTTTGTGACGTGGCTGGGCTGCCCGGGGCGGACATGTCCGTTCGGCCCAAAAAACGAGCAAAACGCGCCGGATGCAAAACAATGCCGGGGCGGCGCGGCCGGCGGGGCGCGAGGCTATTTACGGGAGGCTGCGCGGGGAGGGCGAGGGCCTCGACGACCGCGACCAGGACGAGGAAAAGCGCACCCCTCGCCGGGTAGGCAGCGCGGCGAGCCCGGCGGTATGCAGCCCTGCAGCGGGGACTCCTCCACGAGGTGTCCCTCCATTCAGGACCACTGGGGTGTGCACACTGCACTCCCCCACACACCTGAGAGCCTCCTTTGTCACGCCGGCCGGTACAGGCGCGCCCAAAAAGCCACCCTGCCCTGGCAGTGCCCTGGCAGTGCCCTGGCGTGCCGCTGCTGCCGCTGGGCGACGACACCGTGTTGGTCAAGTCCCCCGCCGCGATGCACGCCTGGCGGCTTCAGAGGACCTTCTTCTGGCTTCTGTCGAGCTGCCGGTTGGGCAGGGCAGGTTCAGCGCGCGCAAGGCCCCAAGCCCAGCAGCCGAGCGATTCAGAAGTCGCTCTGTCTCTGTCGCACTCACAGGGCTCTCCAGAAGGGTGCGAGAGAGACAGAGCAGCACAGCGTTTCCCGGCGACTTCCCGCTCTTTTTCCGCACGGCTTTGCCGCCTTCAGCACAAGCCAGGCCAAAGCTAGCTAAAGCAGGCGCGCGGATTGGCCAGGGAATGTGGAAGGAAACCGATCAGAGTGCGCCTTGCCGGGCTGCGCCGCGCTGTGCTGCCCGGACAATGGGCACAAGGTGGGCCCGGGCCGGCCGGCCGGTGGTGGGGGCGGAGATAAAAATCAGTGTAGCAGGAAGCAGGAGTGCTAGTTGTTGATTAAATGGTTTGCTCGACGGTGTACACCTAAAGACCGTTATTTGGCCGGACGAGAAGTGGGTGGGAAGTGGTTTCGGAACGCGGGTAGTAAACAGCTTGGACAGTTTGGAGGGACGACCGCGTGCGTGGTCACTGTGAGGACCAACACCAACCAGCCCGCGTTCGACCAGTTTCCTCGCGATATTCTGTTTTTTACGGTCGCGCCGTCCGCGTTGACACCTCCACTCCCCCCCCCCTCTCGAGCGTGCACGGGGCATAATTGTCGTTCGCAAAGCAGTAAAAGGACATTCGCTCATAAAAGTCGGTCGCGGGCGGGAACGCCGTCCGCGGCCGCGCTCCGCCCTCGAGAGGGTCATTTTCTCGGACTGTACCGCGTCGACGGCCTCTAAAAATCGCGCGAAAATTCGAACGCCATTCCCGCGCGGCTCTAAAAATCACGAGAAAGGCGTGGGAAATTCAGACGCAGCCAGAGGGGGCCCTCGACGGCGGGGCTCTTCTCGGAACCCCCCGGCCCGCTGAGGCACTGAGGCCGTGTGGAGCCCACACTGTGGAGCCCCCGCCGCCGGGAAGGCGTCACAGGGAAGCTGCTTTGGCCTGAAATGCTAATACGCTGTACAGACACAGACTTTGTAATCATTTTCTAGAGAGTGGTCTGGTCCGGCCGGTACGCGCGACTAGAGCAAATCAAACCGATGTAAAAGCCTTTGCAGTGCCCTAGAAGCGGTTCCTTCTCGGAAGGCTCACCGTCAGCGCGCGCGCGCGCGCGCGCACACACACACACACACACACACACACACATCAGAGACATCCGGAACCGAGAGTGCGGCGGAAGGTGGCAGCGCCGCAACCGCGAAGCGCCTGAATCGGCAGAGAGGGTGCAATTGCCCCATTCGCGGAGTGCTACATTGGCAGCCCTGGAACTGGCCGCCCTACACTGTATGGTCTTTGTATAGCAGCACCGACAGCGTCCGTTCTGCGGAGCGCGGAGCACTGCTGCGGAGCGGACAAGGCGCATCGGACTTCCGCTCCACACCGCCATTCACTGATCCACTCCTCATGTTTTTATCGATCCAAAATAATTGCATTTCGGGGAACTTTCTCTGCCGCTACAAAAACGCCGAGGAGGAGGAGGAGTGGAGGGAGCAGCCTCTGCAGCAGCAGCAGCAGCAGCAGATGCATGTGGAGCAGTCCACAAACTCAAATCATGGCGGATAATGGGGACGGATAATTAAAAATATCGGGAGCAGCGGGAAGAAAGGCATTCCACGGCGGGGCGGGCAAACCCCGGGGCCGCTGGAGTCCCGCAGCCACTGGACCAGCACAATGGCACACACACACACACACACACACACACACACACACACACACACACACACACACACACACACACACACACACACACACACACACACAAACACGTCTAGTACTCCCACTCGGTGCTGGCATGATTAATAATTTAAGGAACAACATCGTCATGTTTTCTAAGTGTTGGCGCGGCGATGGCGCCACCACACCGCCGCCGCAGGAGCTCTCCGAGGCTGGCGGCGCGGGGCCGCGCGGGGGCGGGCGGTACACTGGCGGCACGGGCAGGATGCAGTCGGCGGCACACTGGACAGGCCAGCCTCCAGGCCTCCAGGGCACTTGGCGAAGAAAGTCCGCGCGCCGCGCTGCTGGAGACTCTGGAGACTGGAGAGACGGCTAGAGAGGCGAGGCGGCCCCCGCGCCGCGCCCCACGAGCGGGCAGTGTCTCTCCACGTCTCTCTAAGCTCCCCCCAGTGCGCCGCCCGGCCGCTTGGAGACCGGCCCGGTATGAGAAATCGCGTCGGCGTTTTCCAGCGTGGCGTGGCGTGGCGTGGCGTGGCGTTTCCGGCAGCCGATCGACGCGTCCTAGAAAACGGCTCTTGCAACGCCACGGAGCGTCATGTGTTACTGGACGGCCCGCAGACTGAGAGTCGCTCTGTCTCTCTCGCGCCTGTGCGGGACTTGCGGGACGCCGCGTGAGTGCGAGAGAGACAGAGCGACCCTCAGTCTGGCGGTGCCTGACGGCCTGACGGATCGATCGGCCGTTCGATTGTTTTGCCGTCAGGTTGCCAGCCTGGCAGGCTCGGCCCTCGGCTGACTTGGCGACGGGCTAATTGGCATCGAAGACGTAACTCATGGAAAATGATCGGAGGCGGATGGCATGATCTGGACGGGCGTCGCGGCGTGGCGCGGCGTGGCGCGGCGGCCTGGCACCGGTCGGGCGGTCAGCTGG